AGTCTGTTACCTAGGTGTCTCACGGTGTCCGTGGAGTGTTCCAGATGGCTGGTTCAGGCATGAAGATAGTTCGGTTAGCTGTATGATTGATAGTCCTTGTCTGAAGTGACATGGGCAACAGAGAGGCCAATACTCTAATTAGGAAGTGAAGTCCTCCCTCCCCCTTCCCCTGGTGTGTTTATTACAGGAATGTGAACAACAGAGGTTCTTACAAATAAACAGCATATCATAATCAGTAACAGCAATGTAACAGCGACTACTTGCCAAAGGCACAGGAAGAGATAGGATCCCCTGGGTGTCTCAGGAGTGGAGCTTGGAGAAGCCTTTCTGACCTTCAGTTTCGAGTTAAAGAATTGTGTCCAGCTTTTTTTCAACTATGTATTTCTGAAATACAGGAACAGATGTATGTTTGCAATTTTTTTGTTTGTTGTTTTTTTTGAGACAGGGTTTCTCTATGGCTTTGGAAGCTGTCCTGGAACTCGCTCTTGTAGACCAGGCTGGTCTTGAACTCACAGAGATCTGCCTGCCTCTGCCTCCCAAGTGCTGGGACTTAAGGCGTGCACCACCACCACCTGGCATGTTTGCGAATTTTTAAGACAGATTTTTTTAGTTCTGTGATGGGTGTCTCTCTATCACCCAGCCTGTCCACGAATTCACTGTCGTCCAGCCTCAGCTTCGCACGTGCTGAGGTGCCGAGGTCACAGACCCGTCTCCAGCTCCTGCCTGGAGCTCTGTGTGAAGCAGGCCAAGCCTGAGCCCTCAGATCCAGCTGCCTCTGCATCCCAATGTGCCACCACACCCACTGCTGGTTATATTGTTTAAATGTGGGAAAATACAAGCAAGAAAAAATGAAAATTATCTTCGTGGTAGTTTGTGTGAGAATGATTGGTCCCTAGTTGGTGGAACTGTTTGGGAAGGATTAGTAGGTGTGGCCTTGTTGGAGGACGTGTGTCACTGGGGGTGAGCTTTGGGGTCTCAAAAGTCCAGTCCATTTCCGTCCCCCCCGCCCATGCCTCATGGTTATAGATCAGGTAAGTCTCAGCTCCTGCTCCAGTCCCTGCTCTCCTGCCTGCTGGGCTCCCCACTGTGAACTCATGGACTCACTCCCAGAAACTGTAAGTAAGCCTCAGTGAAATGCTTTCTCTTGTAAGTAGCCTTGGGTATGGTGTCTCTTCATAGCAATAGAAAAGCAACTCAGACATTTTTTAATCTCACCACCCAAAGATAATTATCAATATTCTCAATTATTGGTCCAAATGTGTGTCTGTGTGTGTGTGTGTATGTGTATTTGTTCTTTACCAAACAGCAATTGTCCTATTAGGAATAGTTTGTGGCTTACTTTGTTAACCTAATATTTCTCGTATTACTCAGTATCTAGCCTAGTTAGCTGTTGCTCTGACAAAAATGAACTTAACGAGAGTTTATCTGGCTCAGTTTGAGGTACAATCTATCGTGGTGGGGAATTTGAGGTAGCAGGAGCTCGGAGCAGTTGATCACATTGCATCCATAGTAAGGAAGAAGAAAGCAATGAATGTTTGTGTTCGTTGTACTTTCTCTTTTTATAACCCAGAATCCCATCCCCCGAATGGAGGTCTTCCCACAGCCATGCCCAGAGGCCTGCCTTCCAGGTGACTCTAAACCTCAAATTGGCAGTTTTCGATTAACCATTATGTCTTAATCCCTTACATCACTCTTTTTTTCTTTCTTTCTTTTTTTTGGGGGGGGTTTCGAGACAAGGTTTCTCTGTATTGTTTTGGAGGCTGTCCTGGAACTTGCTCTGTAGACCAGGCTGGCCTCAAACTCAGAGATCCGCCTGCCTCTACCTCCCAAGTGCTGGGAGTAAAGGTGTGCACTACCAACACCCGGCCACTAACTCTTGATTTAGGGGTATTTACACTACTTTTGATTTTTCATAATAATGCTATGATGAGCATTTCTGTAAGCATATGTGGATTTTTTTACAACAAATTCTTACAGTTGAATTCCTAAACTTAATGCAAATTCCTAAAACTTTCTTATTTTATCTTTCTTTTTCTTTTAGTGCTAGTTAAAATTACCACAGGTAAAAAAGATGTTTTGCTTTTTAAAGAATGGGCAATGGTTCATTGATCATTGAAGCTCTGGCCTTTGTGACCCCGGGCAGCCTCCCTTCTGAACTTGGTTCCCATGAGTTAACTGCTTTCCATTTCTAATTACCCTCTGAGCCTGGTTTCCTTCACTTAGAATAACATCTAAATTCTCCCACATGGTCCCAAAAAAGGGTAGGATTTTCTGCCTTTTAAAGGCCTATTTTATAAATCAAAAACTGTAATCCAGAGAAATCAAATAACTTCCCAAAAGTCACAGTTAATTGTCTTTGGTGCTAAGATAGAACCTATGAACTCTAGTAACTTACCTAAAAGTGATGGGTTTTGATAAGAACGGTTTTTATTAGCTTCTACTCTCTGCCATCAAATGATTTATAATGGTCACTTCTAACTGCCTTGTTAAATAATCAGCTTGTGGGTGGGGATATAGACGTGGCTGTACCAATGACTTGACTTTTTGTGGAGGTCAGAGGACTTGTAGGAGTTGGTTCTTTCCTTCTACCTTGTGGGACTGAACTCAAGTCAGCCAGTCTCGTGCAGTGGGCACATTACCCACTGAACCATCCGGCCAGTGCTATGTCCTCTTTACCTATAGTTACACAGGGACTTTGAATTTATTTCAAAAGCTTGATGTAAAATAATTGTGATTAACTTTTAATTTCAAGAATTTGTGTGTGTGTGTGTGTGCGTGTGTGTTTGCACAAAGGTCAGATGACAGCTTTTAGGAGTCTGTTCTCTCCTTCTGCTACATGGGGCCCAGGGACAGATCTCAGGTCATCAGCTTGGACAGCAGGCACTGAGCCATCTTATCAGCCCAAGATTAACTTTTTAATACTGTGCTCGAAAGTTCTGCCATTGTGGTCAAAGTGTGTGCACAGATTCTTTGTGGAAACCAAACCCCTTTCTGACTTGGAACATCAGATACTGGATGTTCTCTACTAAAGTGAGCCTTCTGGCAGCATTCCTTTTTTGAGGGGGCAGTCCCTTCCATGACGCTTACAAAAGACTAAAGCCAGTGTTAAGACCCATGGCAGCCAGGCACGGCAGTGCACACCCATAATCTCAGCACTTTGGAAGTAGAACCAAGACGGTGGCAGGATTAAGACTGGGAAAATTATTCAGAGTCTGGCTGAAGTCTCTTGCTTGCTGAGAATCTCAAGACAATGGGCAATCGCTTCAAGCCTTTCCCCCTTCCTAGCAATAAGCCTGCAATTTTTTAGGAATCTCACTGGAAACCCCTTTGAGGTAAGAGATGTCCTAACTCCCTTGCGCAGCCAGAATGGATCCTGGGGTTGTAATTCCAGTAAAGGAACCTCCAAAGCCACCCTACACTCAATTTATCAAAAAGGAGGACAATTTTCTTAGCAATCTTTGGAGATGTCATTGAAGTCACCAAAACAGTATGAATGGCTGGTGCTAAGACACAGAAGAACTTTTCTTTGAGAAGTCCGAATCATGCTCTTGGGTGCACCTTGTTTTCCTGGGTTCCTTTTAAATAAACTCCGATTCTGCATCTTAATGGTTCATCTTCAAAGATTGTGTTTCATGTGAATTGAGGCCCCTAGAGGTTTATGAGCATGACCCAGGCTGCAGTGTCACAGGCTGCTGTGCCTGACTGCTGCCAATAACAGGACTATTCAGAGTTAGTTGAAAGTCATATTTGACTGCACAGCAAGTTTGAGGCCAGCCTGGACTATAAAAGACCATACTTTGAAAAAAAAAACATTGAAATCGCAGTATCTTCCAGTTTTCAGTGGTGTGGGGTCTGCTAACTATTCGAATTACTGTCCTCTTGGTGGCTTCCTGCTTGCTCTGATGTTTCGTTTGTTGACCTTTAGTTACAGCTAACATTTATTGAAGACTCATGAATTTCTTTCTACCTGCAGTGTTCAGAGCATCCCGCATATTATCAAAACCAGTTCTAAGGACAGATAGGTGTGGATCAAGTTTTATTGGAATGGGAACTTACGAAGTATTGAGGAATTTTCTAGAAGAGTGTAAAATTATGAACAGAAAATTAAGTATGATAGTCAACGTAGATTTGGGATGAGAAATTATAGCCGATTAAGATATCTGTCTGGCATTTAGAAGATACGGTGATTGTAACCTTCCCATCTAGGAAACACAGCCCCCAGTGGCCTCTGCAAAGCTAGGAGGGCTCCTTAGCGCCCCGAGGGAAGGGCAGGCATTGAGCACTATCCCTCCTTATATGAGAAAACTTTGGTAGAGCAAGTCTCTCAACGCTGGGAAATCAGAATCTTGAAAGAACATCGATTGCTCTTCCAGACAATCCACACGGTAGCTCACAACTGTCTGTAACTGCTAGATCCGATGCCCTCACGCGGGCATACGTGCAGGCAAGACTCATAAGAATAAATAACTCTTTGCCACACTCGGTTTCATCAACACTCCTGGCCGCACGCGGATTTAAGGATGGCGGGGTGAGGGGGTTGCTGGGGACGAGCCGGAGTACCGGGAGCTGAAGCCCTACAGGTGAGCCGGACGGAACAAGGCGTGTAGCTGTAGTGCCGGGATGCGCCTTGGGGCGGCATCTGGAAACTGAGGCAGGGAGGTGAGGGTCCTTTTGCTTAAAAGCTCAGCTGCGTCCCGGATGTGCTCTGGGTTCCCGCAGCCGCAGCAGGGTCGGTCTCGGAGGCCGCGATGACCGGGAACGCCCGCAGAACTTCCTCAAGACCCTCGCGCCGCGGCGCCGGAAACCGAGCTCCCCCGCCCCGCGTCGCTCCCCACGGTCGAAGCGCCGCGGAGCCGCCTGGCCTTTAAACCGAATCGCCCGCACACGCGGCGCACGCACGCAGCCAACATGGCCGACGGCGCGGAGGGAAAGCCGGAAGCAGGTCGTGGGGGCGGGGCGGGGCGGGGTCGTGGGTGGAGTCTCGCGCGATGGGGCGGGGCCTGCCGCCGGGAGCCGGGGTTTGCGGTCAGGTGTCCTCTCCGCAGCCGACTGGGGCTTTTCCGCCTTCTTCTGGGGGGCCGGGCCGGACCGGCTCCGCCCCAGCCAGGTGTCGGTCGGTTCCCAGGTGCCCTACGGAGCTTGGAGATTTCAGTGCCGCAGGCCTGTGCAGCGGGCCAGCCGCGATGGAGAACGCCCCCGAGTGCACGCCTTCTCCCTCCGAGTTCACACAGCCTCCCAGCTCGGCCAGGGAGCCCGAGGTGGCGTCTCCCGGAGATCCAGAGGGCTGCGCCCGGCCCCTAGACACGGTCCCCAAGAAACTCTGTGGGTACTTAAGTAAGTTTGGCGGCAAAGGGCCCATCAAGGGCTGGAAATGCCGCTGGTTCTTCTACGACGAGGGCAAGTGTCACCTGTACTATTCGCGCACCGCTCAGGATGCTAACCCCTTGGACAGTATCGACCTCTCCAGTGCGGTCTTTGACTGCAAGGCAAACGCCGAAGATGAGGGCACTTTCGAGGTCAAGACTCCCAACCGGGTTATTACCCTCAAGGTAAATGGAACTTTCCCCTCCTTTCCAGCTCCAGCGAGTTTCAGGGCCGCTGCATAGCCACCATAAATTGACCTGGGCAGTGATTAGCGCCCAGAGCCTGGAGCTTTCTCACAGAGTCTTCACACCATTTCCTTATTGCCCTCCCCCAGGCAAGGGTGAGAGACTCACTTTATAGATCAAGAAACTGAATCACAGAAAAAACGGTATGTCTCAGACTGGGGATTTACAACAATGCCGTCCGCTTTTGGAATCTTCCAGTGCAGTATCAAAACTTTTCTTCGGTGGTGCCTAACTATTCAGTTTCCTTGACTCACTTCCTTGGTACTGAAGCAGGCAAGATACTGTGGTTGCATTTTTGAGGCTGGGTCTGATTCATGTCTTGGTTTGGCCAAGAGGAATGAAAGCAGACATGGGCAGAGGTTAGGAGGGGGAAAAAATGTAAGTTCAGTGATAAGTCTAGATTGTTCATCCAGGCATGTCTGAACTGGTGAGTTCTTAGTAACTGTTGTTTGAGTAAACACATACATACGCACACACAGGGTGCTGGAGCCCCAGGTCAGAGCTCACCAAGTCAAGAGCAGGTGTCCTGTCATGTAACTGGGAAGACAGATGCAGACTTAGTTCTTGAGGCTCAGAAAGACTGCAGAGATGAAGGTTTTCCTCCCCACTGCCTGACTCCGGCTCCCTATGGCCCCCAACCTGCAGCTGCCCCAGGCACTAGGATGCCCACCGTTTTAATTTTCCTTTCCTGGCAGGGTGTGGCTAGTTGACTAGGCTGGGGGGGGATACCATTAAAGTAATGGAAACCCAGATTTTTAGTACTGAAGGACATTTTTGAAGTCACGTGGGCCTTAGGTCTTGTGTTCCTTCCATAAGCCAAGCACTATGGACAGGGCCTCTCAGCACATGGTTTTACTGTGCCATTAATCCGCACGTGTGCCTGGCTCTGTGCTGGGCTCTGAGGTGTGGAACAAGTCTGACTTGTTTGCCCCTGTCCCTTGTTCTCAAACAGCATAAGATGTGATGGGGGAAGCTGGCAGGCATATTTAAAGGCCTTACGAGACACTGAGGAGTTTGGACAGGAAGAGTGTGGTGACAGGAGGGGTCAGCTCCTCCAAAGGAGGAGGGGGACTTTTCAGAAAGGCATCACTTAAGTGAGAGAAACGAGGGCTTTTTGATGTGCAAATGATAAAGGTGTTGATGCTGAGGGAGCCTGTGAGCAAAGACAGAAAACTACAGTGTACCCATGAGTGTCTAGGCAATGATGCTGAGGGAGCCTGGCATGCACAGCGTGCCCCAAAGATGGAGGTGAAAAGGAAATACTGGTGAATTCGGCTCAAGGGCTTGGCCTTTATCCAGTAGGCTGCAGACGTTGTCTAAGAGCCTTAGGCTAAGGGGGTATAATGAGATTAGAGGGTGTAGAGAGCTCAGCCTAGCTGTTGGACACAGGACAAATTGGGGGAAGAGGAAACTGGCAGTCTTGAGAACCCACCGGAAAGTGGTCAGGAGGGAATGAAGGCTGAGCAGGAGCTGTGGCCCTGGGGAACGGCAGATGAAGGTGGCCAGGGTGTTAGGCCAGTGGATGGAAGAGATGGTAACTGGCTGGTTGCATGATTGGGGTAGTGCTGACAGGGGAGAGAGCCCTCAGGGTGAAGAAACTGTAGGACACCCAGCTCTATGTCATCTGAGGTAAATGCTGACCGAAAGATCTAAGGGCTGCTTCATGAACCTGAGTGTGAACCAGGATCACACATGCTGGCTGTCACAGGGTCTCCGGCGTCAGCAGAGCATCTGACATTGAGTGTTTGCCCAGTATGAACATGTCACATGAGTTGAGGAATAAAATGAGGTGCTGTGTTTGGCTGGGGATTATCAGGTCATGGTGAAGCAATTAAAGCTTCAGAGGGACAGAGTACGAAAAGAAAAAACTGGTAGACACCATTCGGTCTTATTGATGTCTGCGTAACAGCCCAAGGGACTCTCATAGAAATACCCCTGTTCTAGTTGAGTTCCTATTGCCTTGAGAAACACCACAACTAAAAGCAATTTGGGGGAAGAAAGGGTTTATTTCAGTCCATCATTGAAGAGTAGGAACTCGAACAGGAACTAAAGCAAAGACCATAGCAGAACACTGTTTACCGGCCTGCTCTCTCTGGCCTGCTCAGCTCCCTTTGTATATAACCTAGACACACCTGCCTAGGGATGCCACCACCCACAGTGGGCGGGGTTCTTCTGTATCATAGGCGTGGCCGCAGGCCAATCTGATCTGGACAGCTCTTCAGTTGAGGTTCTCTCTTCCCAGGTGACTCTTAGTTTGTGTCATGTTGACAGCTGAAGCTCACTGTGACAACCCGTCTCTCCACCCAGGTCACACCTCATACGTGGCCCCTTTAGAAAGAGTGAACTTGCCCTGGTTGCTCTGTAGCCTTCTGCCATTCTTTTGTAGCCTTGATTGTGGACAGCCCCATGAGGCTCACTGTCTACTCCAGTGAGCTGTCTGTGCATCGTCTGTGCTCACTTAAGCTCATGCCTTTAAAATTACGTTTAAGGTAAAGCTCTGCTCTACAGTGCAAAGACCTAGCTCTCGGGCTGGCGTGCCATAGCCACTACGGGCCTGGACCATTTGTATATCCATCTTCTTCCTGAAAGTTACAGAAAGCTAAAGGATGTAAAGCAGCTGTTTGGGATATTAGTTGGGAGAGTCATGACTGATGTTAACTGCTGCTGACTTGCTGGAGTGGTGCAGGTGTCTAGCATGTTAGCATAGTGTGTACGTGGCTTTCCTGCCCCCATTTGTAGTCATGAGCTGGTGTATTCCTGCAATAGGTGGGATTACCTCCATCCCACAGAAAGGCAGCTAGGACTTGGAGATGTCACACAAGGAGAGTGGTGGTCACTGGGCCCCTCCAGGTCACAATCCAATGCCCTTTCCTCTCTCGTGGCACTCTCTCTCTCTCTCTCTCTCTCTCTCTCTCTCTCTCTCTCTCTCTCTCTCTCTCTCTCGGGAATGCCACATGACATGCCAGGCACTGTGCTGAGCACTTGGCTCCCTTTGTCTCCATAACCACTCTATAAAACCAATAGTATTATTGTCACAGTTGAGGAAACAGGCGCAGAGACATGAGGAGCCCGTAAGCCTGACTCTCTTCTGCGATGTTACACAGTAGATACAGACCCGCAGGCTGATGGTTTTCTTCTGGCCAGGACAGAGTTCCTAAATGTCTGGGATCTCTGAAGGCCATGCCTAGTGCCACCCTGCAGGCCTGGGGCCTTACTAACTAATGCTTGTGCTTCTCAGGCCGCCACCAAGCAAGCGATGTTATACTGGCTACAGCAGCTGCAGATGAAGCGCTGGGAGTTCCACAACAGCCCACCTGCACTTCCTGTCACCCCGGCTGCCGGCCTGCCTGGGAATGGGCCCGCCCTGCACCTCAAGCTAGGTACCAGCGGGCTGGCCCTCCTGCCACTTACCCAAGCATTTGGTTGCCAGGCCTTTCCCCTATTGCTGGGAGCATGGGAGGAGCCTCTGCCAAGAAGTAGAGCCAGGATTGGTTGGATTGGTTGGATTGGTTGGATTGGTTAGGTCAGGAACATGGGCTCTGAGGACAGGCTACTTGAGTTTAAGTTTCAGCCTTGGGTGATTTCAGGCAAATTACCAAGCCTGCCTGAGCTTCAGTTTCCTTCCCTACCAAATGAAGTGAATAAATTATACCCATCTTAGCACTCTCCAAACCCTAGCTGGATCCATATACATGAAACAGAACAATTTCTGCATACGGTCAGAACCCAATAGAACATTGTGAAATCCCTAGGACATCTTAAGAAGTTGCACCTGCCCAGAGCTATGGGAAGGATCAGCGAGAGAGTGCGATGTAGTGCCTTCTTGACATTTTGGGATGATTAGGAGTATGTGTTACTTTAACCCCGGTGTTTTCAGAGACCAAAGTTCTGTGCGTGTGTGGTGTGTGGTGTGTGTGTGTGTGTGTGTGTGTGTGTGTTGCGTGTACATGTACTGGAGGTTGAATCCAGGACCTCATGAATGCTAGCCAAGCACTCTGCCGCTAAGCTGTCATTCTTTTTTTTTTTTTTTAAAGATTTATTTATTTATTACATATACAGTGTTCTGCCAGAAGAGAGCACCAGATTGAATTGTAGATGGTTGTGAGCCACCATGTGGTTGCTGGGAATTGAACTCAGGACCTCTGGAAGAGCAGTCAGTGCTCTTAACCTCTGAGCCACCTCTCCAGCCCAAGCTGTCATTCTTTGCCCTTGGATTTGGGGACAGACAGGTTGTTGCTGTGTAGCCCACATTGGCCTCGAATCTCTCAGTTCTACCTCAGCCTCCCTAGTGCTAGGATAAAGCCTGAGCCTTCACGATTTGCTGTCAGAGGAGCTTTTTTTAACCTCACGTTCTGGACTATCCGAACATGGAGAAACCTGGAAGTCACACTTTCCCGCACCCCTGTGCTGTGGCTGCAAGCATGACTGGTGGATCTCAGCATGGGATGGGCCACCCCACAGCTGCCACACGCCAGCTCCCAGTACAGAGTCGGCGTCTCAAGTGCCGCCACTCCCGGCGACGGGCCAGTCAGCCAGGGTAGAGCTTCACATGGCCAACACTGAGACACCTGCCTGTGAGAGTCCCCTCCCTTGTAGGTGACCATGTGTGTACCCACTCGTTCTCCCTGTAACAGCAGGCACACCCCACCCTTCTTCAGCCTCTACCCGGCAGTCCTATTGGGCCCTGCCCTGGGCCTCTTACCCCCTGAGCTGCCTGTCAGCTCCAGGTCCCTCACCGCCAGTCCTAAGTTAGCGCTCTCAGCTAGAAAGCCCCAGCATCCTCCTCTCCACGACAGTGTCGCCTGCCGAGCCTGTGTCTGAGCCTGCGCCCTGTAATCTGAGTGGGCTTTCTAACGTGAAACCCCACCCAGGTGGGCAAGTTCTTGCCTAGGCCATCACATCTCTGCCAGCCCCTCCTGCTGGAGCAGGAGGTTCTCACGGCCCTGTGTTTGCCTGATAAATCCCTGCTCATGCTGTAAGGCAAGGCTTGGATCTCCTCGTCTTGTTCCTTCCCCTCAGATGCCTTCCGGAACTTGGCCATCTAGATGCAGTATTTTCAAACCTTGCAGGGGGACCGGTCACATGGTGTTCTGATTACCAGTGTCCTTGTTGGTGTCCACCCATAGCCCTTAAGCATAGGGACTGTTTCTTTGTCACCTCTGTCCCTAGTCCTTGGTGTCTGGCCTGACACAGTAGTTGTTTGTAGAGTGAATGTGAGAGGAAATACATTGAACGTTCTGACTAAGAAAGGACTGTAAAGTGTAATGTCAGGCACACAGGCCTGGTTCATGGTAGCTGCACTAATGACGCATGTTTGTGTGTGTGACACACGCATTACTTATGCTGTTACTGTCATCGCAGGACCTATAAGCACATATATGCTATTACTGTCACAGCATACATGTCAACACTATCGTAGTAGTACACAGTAGTAGTATTACTGTCACAATAACATACTCATCTGTTATCACTGTAAACATGCATGTGTTGTAGCTGTCATAGTAGCATATACACGCTATTGCTATCCTAATAGTAACTACATACTATTACTCCTGTAATGGTACACCCACACAAGCGGGTACCACTACTGTATAACACCCGCTCCTTGCGAATAGTCTTTAACTGGAACTCCCGAGCCTCCTCCTCCTCCAGGGATTACAGGCACACACCACCATCAGCTTCAAGCAGGGCTTTAAAGGGTTTCTTTGCACTCGTCCTTCTATAGCTCATACTCACCACACAGCCAGGCAGCCCTGCGTTGACACAGTCGCCATAGCCAACTTCAGAGCAAAGACAAGGAGAGAGCCTATTTCATGTGCGTACTGATCTGAAATGTGAGGAACTGGGCTCAGCGGCACAGTGTGGAACCCCGTCGTGCCAGACCTGGCCGAGGTTCTTGGTTCTATAGCTTTGCTTCAATACACATGACTAGGCCTGTTTGGGGCTAGCATTGCTTTTCTTGTGGGGCAGGCAACATGGCGGCCCTGTAACCAGGGTGATGGTGTCCCAGGGAGAGCACTGACCTGAGATTTGAGAAGCAGGAGTGTGGATTTTGCTTTCTGTCAGCCCTTCCATCCTGTAGCAAGCCTACATGCTGGGCCCAGGGCCTGAGGGAAATTTTCCAATATCACACACACATGTATGCCGCACACACACATGTATGCCTGCACACACAGAAACCCTTTATGGAGTCTGTTGTTTGTTTGATTGATTGCCCTGTAGCCCAGGATGGCTTCAGTCTCACTATGTAGCTCAGGCTGGCTTTAAACTCATAGTGAGCAACTTGGTTCAGCCTCCTGGATGCTGGGGTTATAAGCATGTGCCACTATGCCTGACTCCTGTTCTTTCTGGAGTCTTGGACAAGCTGCTGAGCCTTAGATTAGCTGTTTGGAGCATGCTGCCCTACCTTAGCCCCTCCCTATCCTTCCTGAGGAAGCAGAAGGCTGTGCAAGCCTCCTGATCAACTTCTGACTTTGAGTCATAGAGGCTGGGTCCTGTTAAAAAAAAAAAAGTTTCATCACACCCTTGAAAAGTCTGGAGTCGTGTTCTCTACTGCTTTTTAACATTTCCAGCTTTATTTTATACTTCACCTACATGGTGGTCCCCAGACAGCCAAGAGCAATCAGAAGAAAACTGACAGACAGATTTCTATAATTGTACATTGCCAAAGGAAGCCACAGCTTACAGGAGACATTCATAAATACCTGCCACCCAAAATTCCCAAGAACTAACCCTGCTCTAGCGTGGACCTGTGTCATCTCATTTAATCCTTAGTCTTCCAGATGTTATTCTCATTTTATAGGAAAGGAAGCTGGAGCTCCTTGGCGAGGAAATGCTCACCCTAAAATCCAAACTGCATCTTACGGATTCACACCTCAGAGCTGAGGGGGCTTTCAGGGCTACATTACAGACGCAGGAGCTGACTGGCCTAGGCCCTTCTTTGTATAGGCAGGGACTTCCTTGTAGTGCATGCGCAGCCCAAGCTCTCAGACAAGAGAAGTCTGAGGGCTGCTGGCTATGCCTGTCGTGAACATCATCTCACTGGGGTCCTTTCTTCAGGCAAGAGGAGCCAGGGCCTTGAGCCATTGGCTCTGTCTCCACTGGGAAGTGCTGGTCTCAGTAAGGCCACTTGTGTACCTGTCCCTTTAGTTCTCTGCTGTAGGTGGTGCCATTTGGGCACCCCCACCTCAGGAACAGCATTCTGCCCCTGTGAGCCACAGAGTTTAGTGAAAAGGGCATAATGGCTGAATTGCCTCTGAGCTCATGTCACAGGCTGGCTTTGGCTTCCCCACAGACTTTATTCTCTTCAAGATGCTCTTTCCTTATCCATGACAACACACACACACACACACACACACACACACACGTACACACACACGTACACACATGCACACACCACATTCATACACACACTCTCTTCCTCACACATACATACAAACACACTCACTGCCCCCTCTCACATGCACACACACTCCTCGTGACCCTGCCCCTAGCCGTGCCCGACACACAGCCTTCCCATCTGGTCACCCTGGTCCTGGTGCGCAGGCTCAGCTCTGTGCTAGAATCTGTCACTAATGCCTTATCCTTGCCCTCCTTCCTGACGAAGGTCCAGTTGGCTCCAGCCCTCCCAGCCTCCCCGCCTTACTGCTCTCCCCCAGGGAGGCTGCTCTGGCTGGAGGTGGAAGGGCTGTTTTGTCCTCCCAGATAGCTCTCCGCCCCAGCTCCTGCCTACCTGGGTCTGGAGTTGAGACCCCTCCCTTTGCCTGCTCCTCGGCCTCAGTGTCCTGCAGCTTCCTCTGCCGCCGCCCCCTTCCCCCGGAAGCCCGGTGCATGTGTGGGGAGAAGGAAAATAGAAAGGAGGCTTCGAAAGAATGTGCTATCACCAAGTCACTGACCAGCCTGCCGGGAATCAGCCCTGTGTGACCAGCTGTTGTTTAAGTGATCCCAGGTTTCATTAGGTGATAAAACCCACCGTCCTCACCTCCCATGACCACCACCACGGTAGTGACTGTTTTTATACCCACCCCTCCTTTACAGATGTGGTGATGCACAGATGTGTGTGTGTGTGTGTGTGTATCCAAGTGAGTAGGATGCCTTCGGAGCCCAGAAGAAGGCTTTGGTCATCTGGAACTGCCGTTACAGGCAGTTGTGAGCTGCAGGTGGGTCCTGGGAGCTGAACTCTGGTCTCCAGTAAGAGCAGCCAGTGCGCAGAACTGCTGAGCCGTCTCTCCAGCCTCACACCCCTAAAGCTTTCACTCCTTCCAATAAAGCCTCCACATGAAAAGTGTCCTTCCTGTGAGTGGCCCTGGCTCTTTCCCACCTTCTGGAACATTCCATATTAACTTTCAGACATGCCACATCCTCTCTCTTACACTCTGAATGATTTATTTTATTTCTTTAGTGTAGAAACTTACCTTAACATTAAACATTTTGAAGTCACTTTCTCTAGAAGAATTCTTGTCATAATATTGGGGAAAAAGAAAAGGCGGCCCTTTACCATCTTCTAGATGGACATCTTCCTTTATTTTTGTGTATTTTGGATCATATACCAATGCAAAACATCTTTGCTTTTTAATATTTAGGAGTGTGATCATAATATTTCTCTGTGTTTTAAGTACTCTTTGTAACTTCCCATTTTTAGTGAATCTAAATTTGTTTTCTAATTATGAACATAGGCCTAAAATTTTTACAGTAGCAAATTTGGTGAGAAAAACAACAAATTGAGAGTACCCTGCCCATTCATAATCCAGTCGTACAACCCCAACTACACTTTCTTTTTCAGTGTCCAGGCATTTATTAAGTCAGGTACAGGCTCTCCAGGCCGATTCATACCAGCTGTATGCAATTATGAGGGCATGCAGTTTGTCAAAAGGATAGCTGAGACAGGTTGGCAAGTCCAAAACTTCAAGACATTTAAAAGCTAACATAGTAAAGGCCATGCAGATTCCAGAACAGTGAGTCACGACACAGCTTGCTCTTTCTTATCTTCAAAATCCAGGATTTTAACCAGAAAGAAATCACTAGTCAGATATTCAACCTTTAACCAACAGGCTAATTAGGAACAACCCTTATCATTGCAGAGGGTATGAAACCTACATTTTTTTTGGTAAGTTTTTCAAGACAGGGTTGTTTGTGTAGCTCTGCCATCCTGGAATTTGCTCTATAGATCAAACTGACCTTGAACTCAGAGATCCATGAGTCCTAAGATTAAAGGTGTGTGCCGCCACCACCCAGCATAAACAGAGGATATTTTTAAGGAGACTCATATGGTAAAATTCATGCCCTTTATTCGTATTGTGCCTTGAAATCCCATTAAGGTTTGTGTGGTGATGCCCAAACAGGAACCTAGCTTAGGATCTTTTCACTCAACGATGCCACATACTGGTACCAGAGAAACGCTGAAGGTTAAAGAGACTGAGACTCACAGCGAAACTGCTCAGTGGGGCCATGGTATAACCTGGCGGATGTCACTCACATGAGTGTGAGAAGACCTTGAGACCCTAGTGGCTTTCTTAGGTGGCAGTTGTGAACCGCCCTGTGGCAAATGGCTGATGGCTAGATGCAAAATGATAGCTGACTAGAAGTCTTTGCTGCTGCCTGATCTCAAATCTTGTTCCTGTCTGCATAGTTTAAGCCCGCATAGTAATGGGAAGGTTCCAGTCACTCTTCAGATGAAGAAGTTTGTTTCTTTTCTTTCTTTTTATCTCTCTCTCTCTCTCTCTCTCTCTCTCCTCTCTCTCTCTCTCTCTCTGTCTCTCTCTCTCTCTCTCTGTGTGTGTGTGTGTGTGTGTGTGTGTGTGTGTGTGTGTGTGTGTGTTCGGAGCCTTGAATCCAGGAGCTTGTGCATCTAGGCAACATCCGTAACCCATGCAGAGTCTATTTTGAAACTTTTCAGTGTCATTGAGACCAACTCCCATTCTTCAATCTGGCATCTTCCATTTACTGTTATGTCCCGTGTGTGTTCCTTATGTTCTCTGGAAGAAAAGGTTTTACTGTGTATCCCAGGCTAGCCCAGAACTCACAGCAGTGTCCTGTCCAACCCCCTGAGACGTGTCACTACCCACTTCTCTTGTGTCCATCACCATATTTTACCCAGTTGAGTGGCAGCTGTGTGGCGGCATCAACGTATTTTACGCAGTTGATGCGGGTGTGTGGCGGTACCATGATTTACCCAACCTGCTTCTGGGTTTTGAAGTTTTCGTTTTGAGGCCAGCTTGGTGGCGTGCACCTGTTCTCCCAGGGACTTGAGAGTTGAGGCAGGAGTGTGGCGTGCAAGGCCAAGGACATTGTGAGTAATTTAGTTAGACTCTGTGTTCCAAGGAAGGGTTGGGGAGCTGGCTCAGCAGGTGAAGGGTTGCCATGCATGCCTGAGAACTCAGGTAAAACCCAGGTGGGTGTGGCACATGACCCCCTGTAATTGTGGCCCTGGGGAGGTAGAGACAGGAGATCCAGAGTAAGCTGGGTAGGTAGACCATCCTAATCAGCAAGTTCTGGGACAGGGAGAGACCCCGTGCTAGTAAGCAAAGCAGAGAGGTGTCTCTGGTCACCATACACTAGCACATACATATGCACGTGTGTCCAACACACATTGGAACATGTATATATGCTCCCCCCCCCCCAAACACATACATGCGCATGCTAAAAATAAACAAAAACCCTGGGAAAGTTATCTCCACTTTAAGGTACAAGTGATACTAGGAGAGACTCCTCGGCACGTCAGGTTTCGGTACGTTTCAGACATGTCATGAGACACAGACTAGCCTGCGGGCCTGCGTGTTTGTGAAGAGTCTCTGGGAAGGCTGCTTTGCTGAAGTTAGCCCACATCAAGTTTGCTAGCTGGGCAGCTGTCACAACCCTGTGCGCTGTCAGTCAGAGCTGAGCCCATAGCCCGGGATTAAGTCATTCCTACGGGAAGCATGCTAGTTCATGCTAATATGGCCTGCCTGTCTTTGGCTTCCTAGAGCAAGAGGCGGAGCTGGAGGAGTTCCTGTGTCCTGTGAAAACACCCACTGGACTTGTGGGCGCCGCGGCTGCCTTGCAGCCTGTCCCTGCCATGCCCTCAACCCTTCAGAACATTTCTCTGAAGCATCTAGGAACTGAAATACAGTAAGTGCCGGAGGGAATAAGGGGCGGCACATGGGCTCCGTCCGTGTGGTTCTGTGTAGGACAAGGGTGGGGTTGCTGGCTCGTTTTCAAATAATCGCACTGTCATTTAAAAATGTGCCAGGTACTGTGGTCCCCGCGCTTGGGAGTCAGAGGCAGAAGTGCCGTGAGTTCTAGGCCAGTCTGGGCTACATAATGAGATCTTGTTTCAAGAAGGCTTAGCTGGTAAAGCACTTCCTGCTCAAACCTTGTGACCCGAGTCCCTGAAGTGAGCACTAAGGTGGGAGGAGGGACCTGGCTGCTGTCCCCACAGGTGGTGGCACAGGCACCCACGCACACCATGCCACACCATAATAAACAGAAACTTACAGGAAAATCATTAGAAATTGCCCAGAGCTTTACCATTCATCACGTTTAGCAGTGGTAAATAGCTCTGTGCACCCACATATAGCTGGGATCACACCGAATGATGACTTCATACCAAATTATTTACACGTAACACGCGTACTTTGTCATGTCAGTCATGCGGGCTACCTTGTGGTGGGGTGTGGGGGAGGTCTTACTGTGTGCCCCAGGCTGGCCTGGCACTCACTTTGTGAGACTGGCCTTTTCCTGCAGCAATCCTCCAGTCTCAGCAGTCCTGACTGCTTTCCTTTTTTAATTTTTAATTTTGCTGTTTCATGTGTATGCGTGTTTGAGAGGGTAGTGATGTCCTTCCAGGAGAGAAACAGTCTTTAGAGAGGAGGCGTGTCCTCAGAGGCCTGCTGGCTGGAGGAAGTGCTAACCACAGCCATTTGGACAGAGGGGCATGGAGCCCAAGAGAGAGGTCTGAGCTGGGGAGAGAAGCCTAGAGGGCATGGAGCATGGGTGAGCGCCCAGGATGCAGGACGTACTCCTCTGGGGATACTGGGAGGAACCGGGTTGTTAGGGAAGAGGAACCCGAGAAGGCCGGTCTCCTAGCCAGCGTGCATCCGGGATAGGTGGTTTATGCCTGAGGGAGGCCACAGCCACAAAGGTGGGACAGAGGACATGTGAAAACAGAGAAAGGAAGGAAGTTTCACAGCATTCCCCGGGCGCTGCCCTCCCGTCGCTTTGATGGCCACAGATACAAGGCAACGGCAGCATTGCAAGACCGGTCCCCGGTCCTGCCGGGGCCCCAGACCCGATGGTGAAATGAGAGCGGCCATGCCTCACATCGGACCTGGCGGGCCTTGAGCTTGCAGCTGTGCAGCCTTAGGATGAAGGGCAGCCTAGGCATTGTCGGAGGCTTTGTGCTCTCGTTGGCTTGCCTGGAGAAGTCTCTGCGAGCTGCTGTGTGTTGCAGAGTCAGGCCTGACACTCCATTCTCGTCCCCGTCCATCGGGACACGCCGCAACACTCGTGTCCAGGGCTGTTGTGAAGGTGAAATGAATAGAAGGAATCACCGTGTCACTCGTAAAACTTGTCCTGGGGGAGCATGTGTTGTGAACTGTTCCCAGTCCCCATGGCAGGGGAAGCAGCTCAGGAGGTAACTGATTGATGCGGCTGTTGCCTTCATTACCATCACCCTGTGCTGGCCAAGCCTTGCAGAACAGAGCCGAGTAACCAAATCCCTAGCTAAAGCAACTCAAGGAAGCAGGCCTTGTTGCGGCTCACGTGCCCAGGAAAGCATGGAGATGGAACCAGGCACATTGCATTCACCAGCAGGAAGCAGAGACAAATGAGTGGTAGTGTTCAGCTCATTTTCTCCTTTTTCTTCAGTCGGGAACCCTCCCTATCCACAGATGCTGGGAGCGTGGGTCTTCTCCCTTCGGTTAAAGCTTTCTGGAAACACCCTGCACTTAGAGGTGCATTTCCAGGGTTATACAGATGTAGTAAAGCAGAGTGAAGATCGACCACCCGGGGAGCCAGCGTACACAGAGCAATCTACAATGCTCCAAGCAAAGCCAATGAGTTGATAGCAGAGAAATGCTTCCTCTAGGGACAGTGCCACCTGGACAGTGGTAAAGGTCGAGAGTATCCTGTCCTAGAGAGATACCAGCCAGGACCAGAAAGACCCTTTCCTGCCTTAAAGTTGGGGTTTTCTTGCTCTCCCGTACCCAAGGACCACTAGCCACAAGCCCTACGACATGCTGGGGAAGCTTAATTCCTGACAAAAGGAAGTGTGGGCAGCGGTGACAGTCACCCACTTAACTAGTGTCTCTGGCTATGGCATGTGTCCCTGGGTCCCTCTCCTGCTTTTGTGGCTTGTGACCTGTGAGATCTATGCATGGCAGTACTCAGCACACACTAATCTCATCGTGGTGATCGGTGGTCTTCCCAGTGTGCCCACCGCACTTCTATTTTCTGATGGGGCAGTAAGAACCAAAAGGCGATGGCCAGCCCGAGGAGTCAGGGTCTTTGCAATAGGGTCTTAATAATAACCAAATGCTGAGGTCTGGTTATTAGGATCGTAATGCCAATCTTAATCTGACTTATGACTATATTCTTTATCAATCCATAAAAAGATAATCTCATTCTTTTCTTATGCTGAATCCATCTATTTAAAACAAGCACACTGGCCAGGAGGTAGTGGCCCATGCCTTTAATCCCAGCACTTGTGGGGGGCAGAGGCAGGCAGATCTCTGTGAGTTCGACGCCAGCCTGGTCTACAGAGCGAGTACCAGGACAGGCTCCAAAGCTACAGAGAAACCCTGTCTTGAAAAACAGAATAAAACATGCAGACTGGATCTTCTTTTAGAACTAAGTTTCGGGCTGGTGAGATGGTAAAGTTGCCTGCTGCCAAGCCTGATGACCCTAGCTCTGTCCCTGGGACACACTTGGCAGAGGGAGAGAACTGACTCCCCAAAGTGTTCTCTGACCTCCATACATGTACTGTGACTTATGCATGACCTTTCTTTTAAAGTCCAACAGAATTGAGAAGTTTTAGCTAGGTCAAGAAAGGGGGAAAGTTCCAAGTACCAAAGTTGGGAACCACAACAACAAAAGACCATTACTACCAGCTTTATAGAGATAGAAAGGGTTGTTAGGACCAGATGTGGTGGTTGGGAGGATCCAGCACTCAGGAGGTTGTGACAGGAAGATTCCAAGTTCAAGGTCACCCTGGCTACTTAGTGAGTCCATGTCAAAAAAAAAGAAACAGGCTCTAAGGGACACAGTTGAAATCTTAGATGTAATGGACAAGTTCCAGGCCAGGCGTTGGTGGCGCACACCTTTAATCCCAGCACTTGGGAGGGGGAGGCAGAGGCAGGTGGATCTCTGTAAGTTTGAGGCCAACCTGGTCTATACTGCGAGTGCCAGGATAGGCTCCAAAGCTACACAGAGAAGCCTTGTCTCAAAAAACCAAAATATGAAAGAGAGAGAGAGAGAGAGAGAGAGAGAGAGAGAGAGAGAGAGAGAGAGAGAGAGAGAGAGAGAGAGAGAAGTTCCCAAATAGACACAAAATTGCTGGAACTGACGAAAAAGAACTAGAAGTCTGAATAGACCTAATAACCAAAGCTTGAAGGGATGGGGCGGCTTCCCCAGGAAGTTCTGCAGGTGCCTGAAGAGAGGCCTCGGGGACGGGGGCAGTGGCATTTGCTGAGGTGCTAATCTGACCTGGGCACCCACTCTTCACCCGTGCCCCAATTTCACAGCCATTATCGGGCTCAGTTCCTTACTCCCTTCCTTTTCTGGGACCTGAACTAGATTCTTTAAAACTGTCTTGTGTTTCTGCAGCGCCTGAGCATTTGTGGAATGAGGGTTTTCCAGAGTGACTTGTCTGTCATATTCTCAAAGTGTGGCACAGCAGAGCCAGGGCCCACGCAGGTCTATCGGCTTCCGTACCCTCCTGTCTGACCACCCCCACCCCACCCCGCTGCCCTCCGGGTGCAGTGTCACCCAAAATGGTGACTGGTTGTTTGTTATAGCTCAGAACAAATTTCTGCAATTCACAGAAAATGTTAACCCTCGCTCAGATGGGGTAACTTTTAATGTTTTCTCTCTGTTAGAAAAAGAGTCAACATATGAAATTTATTTCATTTTTTCCCATCCTTTATTTAAGACAGGAAATGTCCATGGACACTCTGTGGTAGTAATTGTTTTCAGCAAGATGGGGTCAAGAGAAATGGGGCTGGGGATGTAGCTCAGGTAGTACAGAGAGCCCTTGCCTCCCAGGCTGGCCTTGAACTCACAGAGATCCGCCCACCTCTGTCTTCCAAGTGCTGGGATTAAAGTCATGTGCCACCATCACCTCCCAGCTCAAGACCCATTTCAATCACTCAAGCACCGTTGAAACAGATCTCAGGAAATTTCAAAGGCCAATGGCTAAGTCTCTCTGCCTTCAGAAGCCCTCCTACAAATGGGTGCTCCAAGGCTGGCTTTCAAACGCCTCACCCTCCCTGCCATGCCCGGGCTGCCGAGCCTGGACAGGTGTGTGGCGCCTAGGCTGTTTCTCTTTGCGAAGCCCGAGTTTTCAGAGAGTTCACTTAGGGGCCTCCTTTTCTCTCCCTTGCTGTTGATCTCAGAAGTGATGTGCCTCTATCTCTTTGCAAGGAAAATAAACACTTGACTACCTCTTCATCTGGTGGGCCATGAATTCTGTTGTCGTCTGTACTCTCAGGCCAGCCTTTAGAGCTACCTAGTTCCTATCTGCAAACTGCACAGGGGTTAAGTCTGGACTCGGGATGGGGCCTCAGCCTCAACAAGCTATTGGCTGAAGCTGGCCTGGGCACTGTGTAATAAGCCCCTTGGAAGCCGTGAGTCAGTGAAGCGTGCAAGGCGGGGTGGGTCTGGGAAAAGAACAGAAGCAGAGAGCTTCCAGGAATACTTACAACACGCCTAGGCAGAGCCGGGAAGCACCAATGGGTGTGTACTTAGGAGGCCAGAGGGTTTGGGGAAGGCAGGATGGCAAGTGCATTCAACATTCGTTCAACAAATAGGATGCAATTTCTTATACAGTCACTGTGCTAAGTCTAGCATCCAGCGGAAGGTCAAGTGTGGGGCACATACTCCAGCAGCGGCGTTGGGGCTGCAGGAATCAAGCTTATAAGAAATGCAGTATTCATCACAATTGTGAACTCACAGCAGCTGTGGTCACCTGTACGGGATAAAGCCAGTCAGTAATTCCAGTGAGGGAGGATTTCCTGAGGCTCCACCCCAGCTGAGGAGCTATTGGTGGCTGCTGCCTGAGGGGAGGGTCATTGTTCTTCAGGGTGTGGCCAACAGTAGCGTGTCCATGCTCCCTCAGGCAGGCAACGGTAACTGGGCTCAGCAGAAAGGGCATGTACTGGGGGGACTGAGGAAGTGGAGGGGGAGGATGGGGTAGATTATGGTCAAGATTCATTGTAGGGACCGGGGACTGAGGAAGTGGAGGGGGAAAGGATGGGGTAGATTATGGTCAAGATTCATTGTAGGGACCGGGGACTGAGGAAGTGGAGGGGGAGGATGGGGTAGATTATGGTCAAGATTCATTGTAGGGGACCGGGGAAATGGTCAGTGGTTAAGAGCATTTGTTGTTCTTGTAGAGGACCTCCGGGTTCAGTTTCCCAGCACCAACACGGTGGCTTATAACCATCTGTAACTCCAGTTCTAACAGAGCTGAAGCCCTCATCTGACCTCCACAGACACTAGGAATGCACATAGTGCACAGATACATGTGGGGGTTTGAAAGGAAATGGCCCTCAAAGGGAGTGACACTGTTAGGAGGTGTGGCCCTGTTCAAGGATGTGTGTCACTGTTGAGGCTGGTTGAGGTCTTATATATGCTCAAGCCACACCCAGTGTCTTAGACCACTTCCTGTTGCCTGCTCGTCAAGACTAGGACTCTCAGCTAACTCTCCGGCACCATGTCTGCCTGCATGCTGCCATGTCCACCAGGTTGGTAATGGACTGACCTTCTGAACTGTAAGCCACCCCATTAAATGTTTTCTTTTATAAGAGTTGCCATGCTCAGGATGTCTCTTGACAGCAATAGAAGCCCTAAGACAGACAGACGTGCAGGCAAAACATTCATAAGTCTTAAAAAATATGTGGTATATATGTGTGAATTCACCAAGAATAAAAGGTTGGGGATGTAGTGCGGAAGGGGTAAATGAGAAGGGGGAGGGAGGGGTCAGGATGACGAGAGTGGAGGCCAGTCCGGGTGGTTGGAAGCTGGTGAGGCTGGAGCTCCAGCAGGCAGCAGGAAGGGCATAGCGGTTGCCAGCTGCCAGCTTTCATGCTCCTCTCCCCCTTTCAGAAATACCGTGCACTACATCCGTGGCAACAAGCAGACCCAAGCACCAGGCCACGGACCACTCGTGGCCGAGCCCTCACAGGGTGTGGAGCCGCAAAGCGGGGAGCAGCGCTTGACCTCTGACCCCAGCACTCCAGGTGAGCTCTGCCCAGATCTGAGACCAAACCTGTCGCGTCCCTGCCTGTAAGCATATGGGTGTGACTCACGCAGAACACACTTACTGTAATTCTTCTAGTTAAGCGAAGGCTGAGAAATCCAGGGTCAGCATGCTGAAGGTTTGGGTTCTGGTCAAGGCGCTCTTCCAGGCTGTGTAGACAGACAGCCACTGCTGTCTTCTAGGTCACCGGGAGCCCTCATCTTCCTTTTCTTCTAAGCCTTCATGCCTTCATCTAAGTTATGTGAGACCTCCTAATGCCATGGCACTGGGGACTACACGCGTGCGTGCGTACACACACACACACAAATACACGCACACGGGACCCTTAACAGACGAAAATAATGATCACACCAAAGTCCAACTAGGCTGAACCAGTGGGCTTTTATTGGGGTTACTAACGGGTGTGCGTGGCAGGGATACTTTAAAAAGGTCAAGGATGACTCGGAAAAGCAACTGCATCACCCAGAAGTGCCCACCACAGGTGCAGATCCCCAAAAGCTGCAACCCTGGAGCTCTCCGCACACCTCACCTCCTCAGGGGCAGATGTGCAGTGTGTGTGGTCGTGCTAGCCAGTCTCCTCCCACTCAGCAGTTTAAGGGTTACACTTGGGGGTCCTGGGGTCTTCCAAGTGCCTCTTTTCCAAATGAGTTACCTTTTGTTCACCCTGAGTCTTACAAGTCTCCCTTCCCTCTGGAGGGAAGTGTCAAAGATGAAGGCCTCCAGCGTTCAGGGCCTCCAGGGGTTGAAGAGCAAGGATTGGAAACACCACCTTGAGACAGGCTTTAGTGTAGCCCAGGCCCCTAGAGACAGGCTTTAGTGTAGCCCAGGCCCCTAGAGACAGGCTTTAGTGTAGCCCAGGCCCCTAGAGACAGGCTTTAGTGTAGCCCAGGCCCCTAGAGACAGGCTTTAGTGTAGCCCAGGCCTCTAACTGGATACATAGCTGAGGATGACCTTGAACGTCTGGCCTTCTACCTCTGCCCCTGTGCTTGGATGCCGCGGTGCACCCTGCAATATAGGCATGGACCGCTGCACCAGGCTCAAGAATGTTTTGTTGCAGTAAATGATAACAAAACAAAACTTACCATTTCACTACTTTTCTTTACACCATCTGTGGCATTAAATGCAGTCAAGCTATCATATGACCCCCACTGCCATCTTTCCCACAAAATTCCTAGTAATGATTCATAAATAAAGCAAAGTGTATCTCCCCTTCCAATTCATAGGGAAAGAGCAGAAAGGCGCCGTTGTGTAGGTGGCGCGCCTGTGGGTGGATGGAGCATTTTACTGTTTCTGCCCATCCTGACGTCCATGTTTCTCTCCTCAAGCAGGGAAGGAGCCGGAGGAGTCTCCCAAGCCTGCACTCAGGTCCTCTCTGTCCTCGAGTCCCATGCAGAAGCCTAAGCGACAAAGCAACACCTTCCCATTCTTTTCCGATGGGCTGGCTCGGAGCCGCATGACCCAGGAGAAGGTGGCAGCCCTGGAACAGCAGGTGCTGATCCTCACTGAGGAGCTAAAGTCGCAGAAGGTGAGCCCCAACCCTTCCTTTCCTGGGAACCCCACTGTGCCCCAGCCCTTTGATCCCGGTAACTCTGTGCAGTGCACCAACCGAAGCCTCACAACTAGTCTGTGGTCTTCAAAGGACGACTGTAGAGATCAGAGGAGCCTCACTAGCAATCACTCAGAAACTGCCGTCACACAAACTGGGTGATCTCTGGAGGCTTACTTTAATCGTCGCTTCTTAGATGGCTCTTACAGAGATTCAGGTGGTGTCTTAGTCAGGGTTTCTATTGCTGCGATGAAACACCGTGACCCAGCATGCAATTGGGAAGGAGAGGGTTTATCTGGCTCACATCAGCGTTGCTGTTCATCACTGAAGGGAGTCAGGACAAGAGCTCAAACGGGGCTGGATCCCTGAGGCGGGAGCAGATGCAGAGGCCATGGAGGGGAGCTGCTTACTGGCTTGCTCCCCTGCTTTCTTATAGAATGCAGGACCAGCAGCCCAGGGATGGCCCCACCCACCACGGCCTGGGCCCTCCCCCATTGATCACTAAATGGACAAATGCCTCACAGCTGGATCTCATCAAGGCATTTCCTCATTTCTTCCTCTGAATACTCTGTAGCTTGTGTCAAGTTGACACACAAAACCGCCCAGTACAGGCAGTCTGACCCAACATGAAGGAAACATGGGTGGTGCTGTCTGGATGCAGAGTGTTGGGAGGGGCCGCCAGTGCACAGGGAGGATGGTGCCCCCTGATGACTGTGTGCAGACACCTGAGGGGCTGACACAGGGCAGAGAAGTTAGCGGTGTGTGGGAGAGAACAGTGACAGGAAAGGTGATCTAGTTTTCACATGGGAAGCTCGCTGTAGTAATTACAGGGCCATTGTGGAAAACCCGGGACATATGCCCAGAGGCATTCACATTGTTCAGAAGGCTTCAACTCAGAGCAAGGTGAGTGTTTACAAAGGTTATTCTGTGACATGGTGAGTGTCAGTGTCAGCGGTGTGGGAGAGCACAGCACTGGCCAGGAGCTTCTCTCTCTCATGAAGAAAGCGAAGTTCTCACAGCTGTCATCCTAAAGCCCAGGGAGGGCCTGGTTGGGCTCCTTTGCCCCTGTGAGGAAGTCAGAAGTTTGTGCCTGAGCTCTGGCTGCTTCTTCCCCCGGCCTCTGCTTGAACAGGACTCAGGCAGGGGTGGACTTGTGGTCTGAAGGACTGTGTCTTCACTCCCTTCTGTGATTCTGCTTCTGCTTTCTGCCCAGCTAGAGACCTAACCTCGCCCCCTCACAGCAGGCCAGGCCTTACAGCTGTCGAAGCCTACGGTGACTAGAGGGTTTCTTCCCACAGTGTGCATGCAGCATGTGTGTGAGTGTGTGTGTGTATGTGTGTGTGTGTGTGTGTGTGTGTGTGTGTGTGTGTGACACGAATGTCGGGGGAGAGGGGCAGCTGCGGGGCAGATAAACACATAGCGTGTCCTTGCTGTGTGTGACACGTCCTACGTGGAGACATAGCTGTGATGTGGGGACTTCCCCGGGCCCTGCGATCTGTCTTTTCCTCCTGTCCTGGTGGCTTCCCTGTCATAAAAGGGTGCTCAGTTGCACTGTAATGGGTGTCAGATTCCCAGGTTCATGTCACTGAAGCTCCTTAGCCAAACTTGAAGAAAAAGGAGAGGGAACCATGATTATAAACGCCGCCTGTCCTGTCATCGCATGCTCCTCCTTCCTAGAATTTGTGGATAGCTTACTCCTTACCTAGCCTTTCTTTCTAAGGCATGACAAGTAGCCAGAGGTACTCAGGAAGCCCTTGGAGGCCTGCGCTCCTCTGGAGGCTCCTTGCCTTCCATAAGTGAAGACAAGACTCTTTAAGGTTGCCAGGCTGTGAATACCCATTCAAAGGAGGTCATGAGGAAGTTGTCTGGGCCTTTCAAAATGTAGACTTTTACTGAATAATTTTCCAGGAAACCCTGATGGTTGGGAGAAAAGGGTTTGTGGTTTTGCCTTTGGCTTACAGGATAAGGGTGCTTCCCTGCTCCAAACATGTCTGATGCCTAGCAGAGACCGCCAGCACAGGCCACATGCTGACTGTTAACCTCCCAACCCGCATCCTCTGGTGAAGGGAGTTATAGCCATTCTTGCTGGAGAGGTCCAGGTCTAGATCCTCAGGTCAATGCCTGACACCCCACAGTGCACCGCAGCTGCCAAGTCCGGCCATCGGGCTTTCACTTTGATGCCCTAAGAACTGGTTCCTGTTGCCTAACAAAGAGCAGGAGAGACGCTCATCTCAGACGCTCAGAGTCTGTTCTACTTTGCTTTTTTTGTTGCTGAAGTAAGCACCACGACCAAAAGCAACTTGGAGAGGAAAGGGTTTATTTTACAGTACACATCACAGTCGGTCGCTAAGGGACACCGTGGCAGGGACTCAAGGCAGAGCTTGAAGTGGACTTCCAGCTTACTGGTTTGTCCCCCTCGTTTGCCCAGCCACCGTTTTCACATGGTCCAGGCTCACCTGCCTCACAGGCCAGTCTGATGTGGACAGCTCTTCAGCTGAAGTAATGCTTCCCAGTGGTCAGGTTTGTGTCACGCTGACAGCAGACGCCACCTCTGACAGAGTCCATCGGGAGGAAAATGGCTCCTGGCTTTCCCAGGGGCAGCGCCTACGAGATGCTTCCCTGGCTTCGGTAGGAAAGTGTGTCTAGCTCCAGGAAAAATGACAGTGTGTCTAAGTTTAGCTGTCCAGGTAGACCAGTGATTCTCAACCTGTGGGCCATGACTCCTTTGGGGATTGGACAACCCTTTTACCAGGCTCACTAAGACCACCCCGAAAACAGATTTACATTATGACTCATAACAGTAGCAAAATTGCAGTTTTGAAGTAGCAGTGAGAATTATGTTATGGCTGGGGGGTCACCTCAACATGAGGAACTGTGTTAAAGGGTCACAGCATTAGGAAGATTGAGAACCGCTGAAATAGGTAGACATCAGTGGGTTCAGTAGCCCTGTAAAATTTTACCTCAAATTGTATGCTGTGGAAAGCACACTGGGACCAAACCCCTGCCCTTGAAGACTCTGCTTCACATCAGAGTGTGCTGATGCCAGTGTCGTGTGGCCTTGGCGCAGGGCTGTCTGTCTGTCTGTCTGCACACCAGCTGAAGAGGACCCTGAAGGTCTGAGGGTCCCAGGGCGCTCCAAACCCAAGCTTCCCAGGGACCAAACCAGGGCTCAGAGTCTGACATGGTGCCACTAGAGTCTCAGACCTTTCCTTTCACTGGGCCTTGCTCGAGGGGCTGAGAGGAGGCCCCTTGCCTGACGTCTGGGGCTGCAGGCCTAGCAGCGGGGCTGCCTCCCTTCCCTGACCTCATGGCCCAGCAGCATACACAAGAGCCAGGACTGATCTTGGAAAACGTGAGTGCGCTCTCAGTGCCTCCCTGTGTCAGTAAGTCCACGGGGCTCTAGTACCCACTAAGCGTTATCCCATAAGTCCTTGGGGCTCTAGTACCCACTAAGCGTTATCCCATAAGTCCATGGGGCTCTAGTACCCACTAAGCGTTATCCCGTAAGTCCATGGGGCTCTAGTACCCACTAAGCGTTATCCCATTACCCACCTGGGCAGTCCATTGCTGGCCCTATAGAGGTTTAGACGCCAGGAGTCAGCTCCAGGTGGCAGGTTGGCGAGGTGCCTCGGGCCCCGAGCTGATAGTCACGTTCAGTTTGAAAGCTGTCTGCCCTGGCAGATGGCTGACTGTTGGCTGCTGTTGGCCATCTGTCACCAGGGGAAGGTTGGACTCCAATGGGGCCACTTAGGCTCACTCTGGGTGTCATGGTTGTTTGTTTAGGAAACTCAATGGGGACAGTCCTCCAGCCTCCTCCCCGAAACTCTAGCTGGAAACTTGAGAGTACTGCAGACAGGGCTTGGGCTTTCTCTTAGAGGGAGGGTGGACGGCGCCCTGGCTGATGTAACTTGAGGAAAGGCTTTTGACATTTTTTTCTTAGTTTCTTGAGGCAACTCTGCCGGGAACTGAGGTCTTTATCACCAGCGTAATTAGGAGAAAGTTGATGCTCCATGAAGGGGTCAGCCCCAAGCCACCATTAAAGTGACCCTCCTTGGATCTCTTAGCCTGCTATCTTTGAGTATAGCAATGTGCCTAAGGCAGGCTGCTTTGTGAAGAAAAGGTTCCTTCTGTCCCAAGGTTCCCCTGATTGCTGGGCACAAGTACAGCCACATTTAATTTATTGTAGGCAAGCGCCCCACCAACTTCAACTGTGTCACACCTGGGATGGCCTTGCGACAGAGTTCTGAGACAATTCAGGCATCACGCGGCAAGAGACAGGGAGTTCTGTGTGTGTCCCTTCCTCTTCAGCGGCAGGACTGAGTGGTGGGGACTCCACCCTCACGACATCAGTAGCTCCCAGTGGGACCAAGCTTAGACACACTCACCCCACAGCAGAGCGTGAGGCCTGCGTTAGCTCCCAGCATGCCCCTGAACTTCACTTGCCTTTTAAAAATGAAAATAGAACAACTCATGACCAGGAATGAAAACCTGAGATGGCCAGACAATTGGCTTGAGAAGTGTCACTCAACCAGCTTTCTGCTTCCTACAACTGGTCCTCAGGTGTGGCTTCTGACCTTGGAGACGGCTCCAAGTCCCAATTCAGGAGCCCTGGCTTCTCTGCGCCTAGCACACAGGCTCGGAAGCAGGTGGAAACAGCTCACAAACATAGCAATAGCCATCAAGATAGCCGAGAGCAGGGGTGGCGGTGGTGACGGGGCACACCTGCAGTGCCACCTTCTGGGAGGTGGAGGCAGGAGGGTCAGAGGTTTGAAGCCAGCCACAGTGAGACCTCGTTACAACAACCCACGATGGAGTAAGTAAACAAAATGTGTGTATACATGCAAAGACTAGCCTCAAAGTCACAGAGCTCTGTTTGCCTCTGCCTCCCAAGTGCTGGGATTAAAGATGTGTGCCGCCAGGGCTGGAGAGATGGCTCAGCGGTTAAGAGCACTGGCTGCTCTTCCAGAGGTCCTGAGTTCAATTCCTAGCAACCATATGGTGGCTCCCAGCCATCTGTAATGGCGCCCTCTTCTGGCCTGCAGGTGTACATGCAGACAGAATACTGTATACACAATAAATCTTGAAAAAAAATGTACGCCGTCACCACCCAACTACTAAACATTAACGTGGTTTGGTTTGGTTTGGTTTTTGGTTTTTCAAGACAAGGTTTCCCTGTGTAGCTTTGGGGCCTGTACTGGAACTCACTCTTGTAGACCAGGCTGGTCTCAAACTCACAGAGATCCACCTGTCTCTGCCTCCTAAGTGCTAGGATTAAAGGTGTGCGCCACCACATCCCGGCTAAACATTCACATTTTAAAAAGCTTTTTTAAATTAATAAAACATTCCTGTGACAATGTATGTCAAAGTTCCTTCTTTTTAAGGTTAGATAATATTCCTGTGCATGGTGGCTGGGCAGGAGGCCCATGGGGTCTCCCTGACCTCCAGGTTTCCCATAACTATGAGCTTCCGGTGAAGCTGCCTTCTCTTCCCAGGCTCCTTCCTCCCCAGCAAGACTTCTGGTATAGGGGTGGTTGGGGCTCCGTCTGGGAGCCTGATTGGAGATGCTAAAGAATCGAGTGTAGGAAGGAGCTCATTGGCTGTCATGAGCAGGCTTCCAGACCCTCTGAGGCAGGGGACGGTGTTTACTTGTTTTTTGGTCCAAAGCAAGACTCATCTGTGGTGCCTGTGCCTGCTTCACCCAGGGCTATCTCCAGGTCTCATCTAGACCCTGGAGCCACAGGAATGCTAATCTCTCACTAGAGCCCCAGGAAGCTGTTACTCCATTCTGGGACATTCCAGACATAGTGATCTGGTGTGCAGTCACGCCCCCACCCCACCTTCTGGCCACACCCAAGAGCCCCCAGAGCCCCGAATCTTCCCCTCTGCTCCCCAGGCCTCTGCTTGGCTGGCCTTTGAGCTGTCCCTGGGGCCTGGCCTGGAATGGCTTCCCTCCCCTCACCTGGGTGCTGTCGACCCTCCCGGCCCTCCTCATTCCTCAGTACTCTGAATTGCTTTGCCATATTGTGATGTGCAAGGGCTTCTTCCTCCCTCACCTCCACCCCAGGCAGAGGCCACTGTACCCCAGCAAACCCCTTTGCCCTCTGTCAGCGGCAAACCGTTCTCTACGGTGGTCTGTCCTTACTCTGTCTCTGCAGTCCCTGGACGTGGGACCTGTCCCTTTCTGGGCTACAGTTTTTGAATTTGGAAGCCTGAGGCAGGAGGATCGTGAGTTTGAGGCCAGCCTAAGCTGATAGAGAAGCCCTGTCTCAGAAACAATGGAGAGCTGGAGAAGGGATTGTCAGTAGACCCGAGGTGGTCTTATCAACCGCTCAGTCACATCTCTGGCCGTTCTCACACGTGGAATCATGCTTAGTAATTCATTCCATCCAGCCGATTCACTTGCTGAGATGCTGCAGCGTGTCGTCACTAAGAGAATGTGTGTTCCAAGTGCACTAGCAGGGTCAGGATAGTGAGCTGTGGGGTCCCCACACCTGGCTGCTGGGCCGCTCTGTTTCTGAAGTTCTGATCCTGGCCCAGGATCTAGTCCTTCCCTGCTTTGGGCAAGGCAAACCTGAGTCCTGGGGAAGTTAGAGTACTCTGTCACAGTAGAGCCCCGCCGACCTGGGGTCAGAGGAGCAAAGGCCAGTGCTGTTTCAGAACTGTCCAGCTCTTACTTCCTGTACTGGCCTTGGTTATCGTTGCTGAGCTTGTTTGGTGAGTGTCCTGGCTTTCTGCTCCAGTCCTGTCTCAGCTTGCTGGGAAGTGGCTATTTGGATACTGTATTCCTTACTTTTCTAGTGGCCGTAACAAAACTTGACAGTAGCAGCATCAAGAAGGAAGGGCTATTTTGGTGCACAGCTCAGAGTTGCATTGCATCACTGCAGGGAAGTCTTGGCAGTAGGGACTGCGCATTGCATCCCACTTAGGAAGCCGAGAGATGAACGCGGCCCTCAGTCCCCTTCCTCTCCTTCAGCCCAGAACCCCGGCGCGTGGAATGGTGCCACCCACATTTAAAGTGGGTTTCCCTACCTCCGTTAACCTCTACTCTGGAAACTGGTTCACAGACACACCCAGATGTGTCGTGTTTCCTTGGTGATTCTAAATCCCATGAGGTTGACAGTCAAGATGAACCATCACACGTGCCATCTTGAGGACGCTGAGGCTTGAAGCGCCGTGGCGAGGAAGGACATCCCAGTCCTTAGTGAAGGCAAGCGAGAGTGAGAGCAAGAGGCATACCCGTGCTGTGCACACATCTGCACCCCAGCTGCATCACTAAGCTCAGACTTTGGGGTCTGGACGCTTTAGGATTGAACTCCCTATTCCTGGGCTTCAGTTTCTTCTTCTTTAAAATAGACATGTCTAAGTCAGAGTGTGGGTTCAGCTCCCTTAAGAGAGAAACCTCAGAATGCCATAACCTAAAACAAGTTCCAAATTTCTTTCTTTTATCTCTTACACTGAAGAATCCAGATGGCAGTGTGCAAGTCCAGGCTGGGGGAGACAGGCAGCTCTGCTCCCTCAGCATGGACTCCAGCTATGGGGCTGGGAGCTGTTCTCTTCCCAGCCAGAAGGAAGGGGACAGAGCCCATGGAGCATGTTTCCAGTGGTCTCAGAGGTGACCCACAAGCTGCACACATCTCTGCTCACCCATATTAAGGCAACACTTGCTGGGATGTGTTTTGTGTTGTTATTGTTGTTTTGTTTGTTTGTTGTCCAGATACCCTGTGCTCAGCTACCATTCTTACTGGACCAAGAAAGCAGAAAGGAGTTCTGGGATGAGATGCCCAGGGGAGCCGATGGACACTCAGAGTTTGGAGGTCTGGGGTAGTGTGTACCTAGCAGGGCTTCCCAGCGCTCACGGCTGCTCCCTTCCTATCCAGGAGCTGGTGATAATCCTTCACAAGGCCCTGGAGGCTGCCCAGCAAGAGAAGCGAGCTTCCAGTGCCTACCTGGCAGCCCCGGAAGACAAGGACCGACTGGAGCTGGTCCGGCACAAGGTGCGGCAGATCGCAGAGCTGAGTCAGCGGGTGGAGGCCCTCGAGCAGGACCGAGAGCGTCTGGCGCACGAGTCCGGCCTGCTCCAGCAGCAGGTGCAGCTGCTCATGGATAAGAACCAGGCCAAGCAGCAGGTCATCTGCAAGCTCTCCCAGAAGCTCACCGAAGACCTCGCACAGCCAGACCAGCCTGCCAGTGCCGCCAATGGTGACTTCCTGAGCCAGCAGGAGAGAATGGAGCACCTGAAGGTAGGCCCCCCTCTCCACCCAGCATGCTCTCCTGGCCTCTGGGTGTCACTGAGTGGCTCATTCTGGAGCCTCCAAACCACAATTAGGTAGCAAGAGGAAAATTTCTCTTCCCTCCTTCACTTTTTGAAAGCCCAATGCAATTTGACCTTTCATGCTGTGCAGGCCTCTGAAAGGTGAACAGGTTCCCAGCTTACCAGTCTGGGGCCTGGTCTGCACAGCCTCCATCAATGCCATCCTGCTGCCCGGGATCCCCAACATGCTCGCCCTCAGCGCAGTCTCACATGTAGAACAGATGACCTGTGCTGACTGTGACTGGCCCAAGGCAAGGGCAGTGATCACCACAGAGTGTTCTCCACACGCCGGCCTGTCTCTAGTGTTTGCTGTGTGAGCTCATTGTGGCCTGTGCCAGCCCTGCGAGGCAGTGACTGGCAGGCCCCACTTTTGTGATAGGAATAGAGATGCTCGCCTGTGAGGCTCAGAGTAGAGGTGCTTGCCCAGCGGTTGGCACAGGGGAGGGGCGGGGCTGGGCAGGAGCTCATTTCTGCTGACCAGTCTACCTCCCCTGCCCCTCCCAGCCTTTCCGGGCCACCTTCCACGCCTCCCCCTGCTTCCCTTCTCTGTCCTCGTCTCCCTCTTCAAGCCACCCCAACTCACAGGGGCCAACCGTGACATTTAGGGACATCATTTGAGGTGTGATGCCAGCCATGGGCCACAGGCTGCTCTGAAGACTGTGACAGGGGCTGCCCGAGCATTCCTGAGGCTGAGGAGAGGTGCCCTTGACCCTCACTGTCCCTGGACAGCACACAGAACCAGGGCCAGTCTGATCCCAAACACTGCTTCTCCAGGCCTCCCGTGTTCTTGTACAACTCCAACCTAGGAACTGCTGGGTGGTGGGGTAGAGAGAGAGCATTGGTGAGTCAGGCGTGGCCACTGCTCGCCCTGTGAAGTAAGCGAGCCCTGGTGTTGAGTCCCTGCTCTGTGCCTTGCTAGCTGAGTGGCTTTGGGCAAGTTCTCTCTCTCTGTGGGAAGTGGCCTAACTATCCCTGAGCTGAAGAGTCCTTAGGATGAAGGAAATACACCCATACTCCCTTCCCTGCCAGCCAAAACTAGCAGGAACAGGACCGCCGTTAGCCTGAAGCCAAAGGCTATTTAGGAATACAACAGAATGAAGAAGAGCAGCTGTCCATCAGTGAGGTGTGAGGAGACCCACCGTCCTGGGATTTTATGCTTGTAGATCATGCCGCTGAGCCCATACTGGGGCCTGACAGAGCTGCATGGACTAGGTGTGTCTTAGTAGCTCTTAGAAGAGCCCACCAAATGCCCTTCCCCATCATATGTGATCATGGAGAGTGTTCCCATTTCCTGCCTGCTTGAGGCTGGATGCCCAGCCTTAGGTAAAGACCCACTCATCAGGTTATTTCAAGAGTAGTATCACTAATCTCTTGGATTTCAGAGCTGGGCCGAGGGGAGCCCAGTATTACCAAACTAGGCTCATAATCCCAGTGCCAGGAGGGAAGTGGAGGCAGGAGGCTTGGGATCGCAGGCCATCCTCAACATAGAGTTTGAGGCCAGTCTGGATTACATAAAGCCCTGACTGGGGCAGTGAGGGGCTCAGAGATGGGAAGACTGGGCAGTCCAGCTATGCAGATGCCCTGCCTGAGGGGGAGATGGGTCCTGGTCAACAGTACGGGCAGCGGGATCATGGCAGACTCAGGCTTCCCGTGAGAACCTGTGGTGTCGGCTCCTGCACAGGCTGCTGCACGCTCTCCTCCTGGGCCCCTCCTGCATGTTGTCCTCTTGCTTTGCTTGTGACTCTGTGTGGCTTTTTTCTTCTCTGAGGTTTCTCTGTTTCCTCCCTACAGTTCTGAGGCAAGGAGCACGGCCAAGGTAGGGCACCAATCTGATTGGAGGCTGCCCAGCTGCCTTTCCTACCCACTATGCTCCAAGGGGCGCTCACACCCACCTCACCCAGGAACAGGCACCCTGTGACAAGTCCACACTCTCAGGGTTGGAGGGGTGCCTCTGCCGAGCCTGGGTGAGGAAGGGGTGCAAACAAGGATCAGGAGTGGGTGTGCTCTGGGCAGTCCGTGGCGTTTGCCGAGCGCCTGCCGTGGGCTGAACACTCCCAGGTTGGGGTCCTTGCTCTCCTAAACCAGATGTGTCATTGAGAGGTTCACCTCCTATGTAACGTGTACTCTTTCCCGCCAGCTGCCTGAGTCCCGCCGCTGTCTCAGCCCCCAAATAACACACGAGACACTATATTAATTATGAAGCTGTTGGCCATTTGCTATGGTTTCTTAATGGCTAGCTCTGACTTAATTATTAACCCATAATTACTAATATATATTTTAATGAGGTCTTATCTTACCAAGGATGCAGCCTCATGCATCCTCTCTTCCAGGAATCACATGGCGACTCTCTACTCTTAACTACATTTCCCAGAATCCTCCTTGACTCCTACTCCCACCTATCTTGCTTCCCTATTGGCCAACAATGCTTTATGTATCAACCAATAGGACAACATACACAGAAGGACTCCCCCATCACTTCTAGATCCCTGACTCCTCATCTGTAAAATGGGAACAATGCTACTCATCACCTATGGAGGGTACACGGTGGGGACACTGTTCTCTCACCTGGGAGTCCCCATGACCAGCTGCAGCGGGCTCCCCACAGACTGAGGCATCTTGTGTACCTCACACACAGTGACGAATGGAAGCACTTCCCGAGCCCACAGCCTATGACTGTTCCCCAGCAGGAAAGGAAAGGCTTGGCTTGCAGGGGATATGAGTGGACAGTGTGCTTGAATGGCTTCTGGAATATTCTTCTCAATAGAATAAACGTTGTGAGCCATGGCTATATCTCTGTATGGAAACTTGCTATGGTTTGCCTGGCTGCTCATCTGTCCAGGCAGGAAGCTATTGCTCCTTATGCCAGACTATGAGGGGCAATCTCAGGGCTCATATCTGTTTATCAGCGTAGCCCAGGCTCACATTTAAAAGCATTAAAAACAAAACAAGGCCTAAGCTATAGAAAATTTCCTAAGCTGGGCATTGGTGGCGCATCCCTTTAATCCCAGCACTCGGGAGGCAGAGTCATGTAGATTTCTGTGAGTTAGAGGCCAGCCTGGTCTACAAAGCAAGTTCCAGGACAGCCAGGGCTGTTACAGAAAAATCCTGTCTCAGTGCCCCCCAAAAAAAAGAAAAGAAAAGAAAATTTCCCAATAGAATAGTCATCGGTCTGTTTTAAAAAACAAAAACTGTTGGAACTCAGCATGATGACACACACCTATGTGTCCTAGCCATTCTAGAGGCTGAAGCAGGAGACTGCTGGGTTAGAGCTCAGCCTGGGGTGCACAGTGGCATCTTCTTAAGGAAAACAAGGGGGACCGAGTATGGTGGTATAGGCATATTGCCAAGACCTGCACAGCTTTGGTAAAACCTGACAGGGGAAACAAGGGAATGAAGAAGTGACGGATAGGAACAGAAACGCTGGGCTGGAATGGACCAGTTGCCCTGACGCACCAGTAGCCTCTAAACTCAGCACCGTCAGCACCGCCTGAGGAGGCAGGGTTATATACGGCTGCACCAGGGGAAAGCCACACCGCTCACATGGGTCTAGGCAGTGACATCCTTGGCGTGGCCATGCTCATGTCAACAGTGCTCCCTCACTCAGGTCTTCATCCACTCTGCACAGCCTGTAGTCTTAGCACCTATGACACACGCAGGAGGGTCTGGAGTTCACAGCCATCTTTAGCTATGTAGCAAACTTGAAACCAACCTGGGATACACAAGACCTTGTTCAAACAAACAAACAAAGCCAGGAAATAAGAAGAAAAAGAAGGGGCTGGGCGTGTGTAGCTGAGCTGCCACACAGACTGGGGTTGAGTCCTAGTGTCAAAAGCAGGTGAACAGATAACACCCCTGAGGGTCACACAGTTGTGTTTACAAAGTGACACTTGACAAAAAGCAGTTCAGGCAGGTCTGCAAATGCCTGGCACATGTACTGATTTAAAACCACCAAAGCAATTATGGGGCAGTGGAGGAGCCCAAGGTCAACAACAGCTACTTAGTTGGAGCCAGCTTGGTTCCAACCGAACCAAACAAACCCTGAATATAAGGAGACACAGCCCTGAGGGCTTTGCTGGGTTCCATCGCTTCCTCAGTGTTGGCCACGTCCGTCCCATCTGCTGAGGGGACATTCACGTCTGCCTTTCCCAGATACAAAAGCAGTCAGTCAGAATGGTTCAGAGACGGCAGCCACCTTGAACTCCCCGCCTAGGGCTCTCCCTACATTGTGCTGGAGACGTCGACTTTGCAGACCCCCTTCTCTGTAGTTTTGGGGATTTCTCAAGGAAGGAAGCTTAGTCAGCTCCTTTGAGGGCGACGTCTCCAGAGCAGGGTGTTTGTGGTTCCGCTGCTGACCCACCTGGCTTTTTTCCAGGACGACATGGAGGCATATCGGACCCAGAACCGCTTCCTCAACTCCGAGATCCACCAGGTCACCAAGATCTGGAGGAAGGTGGCGGAGAAGGAGAAGGCCCTGCTGACCAAGGTACCAGGGACTGATGGCCACATCCGTGGCCCAGCCCCTCCCTGTCCCCTGCCTTCCCTAATCTCTTCTGGCCCCTCATGCCTGTGATCTGTGCCAGAAATTCCCGTAGTGCTGGGAGCAAGACACATTGAGTTCCTCATGAGAAGGAGGAGGTGGGCAGAGAGAAACGAGAACGTGGGGAGGCCCAGGGAGGGCCGAAGTGTCCATAGACGCACGCAGGTGGTGCCTGGGCTACAGCACTTGCAACCCCAACCTTGAGGTCAAGATGGGAACCGAGCGGCCCAGCAGTCACAGAAAATGCTTCAAGGCAAAATTCCACCATCCCCATCTCACAGAGACAAAATGCAGGGCCCAGGGAGCTCATGACTCACCCAAAGTCATCTGACCTGTGCACGGAAATGGGGGCAGGGTGGGAGAGCAGGGCCACACCCCAGGCTGAGGACAAGGAAGGAAGGCACAAAAGGCAGCGGAGGGTGCCAGGGCAGGACCCTGCAGGGAGCTGCCTCTGCCCAGTGCCTCTGTGCCCAGAGCTCACACTGTTCCTTGCCAGAACCCTGAGGAGACCCCGTGTTACTCCTGTTCTGCAAACGAAGGGCTGAAGTACAGGGTGAACTAGCACGTTAGCTGACGTGGTCACGGGCCACACTGCTTGCCGTGTCTGAACCAGGATGAGACTCCATGCCTTGCATGAGATGGGCTATGTCCGCCCTTGCTTCCCCTCCCCTATTTTGGACCCAGCTCCCTCTCGATCTTTACTTCCCTTGCAGTAAGCCTTTGTCTGCCTGCAGCCCTGGGAGCGGGCAGGCAGGGAGAGCAGAGTCGGGAGGGTTTGACGCTGTTGAGGGCTCGGCAGCCTGAGCTGCCCGGAGCCCTGACCAGCCGCCCACTCCTACAGTGTGCCTACCTCCAAGCCAGGAACTGCCAGGTAGAAAGCAAGTACCTGGCCGGGCTGCGGAGGCTGCAGGAGGCAGCAGGGGCTGAAGCCGGTGACTTTCCTGGGCTGCTGCGGCAGCTGGTCCACGAGGCGCTCCAGTGGGAAGCAGGAGAGGCCCCAGCCAGCGTGGAGCTGAGACCCGTCAGGTGAAGCCAGGGGGCAGCCGGGAGGGGCTGTGGCTCAGGCACATAGTGGGCAGGGTCAGCTGAGTGGGGTGGGCTCGGGGGAGGCGCAGACCACCCAGACACTGCACCTGTCCCTGCCCAAGCTGTGTCTCATGGGATCTGGGGACCCCAGGCCGGAGTCTGCCTGTTTCGCTGTGCGCCCCTAAGCAAGGCACTTTACCTTTCTGCACCCGTATTCAGCCCCTGTGTAATGAGGTAAAGTCCCCTGCCTCACAGGGGTGACCGAGACGGCACACACAGGACACACAGTGAATTGCAGTCTCCTGGGCCGCATATAGGCTCTTGTAGTCCACCAAGGGGATCTTCCACATCCTCAGGAAGCAGAGCCGTTCTCCCAACTGCACAGATAAACTGAGGCTGGGCCCGGGAGTGGCCTCGGTGCAGCCAGGGTGCAAGCCCATCTGATGTGACCCTTTTGCCAGCAGTGAGTACGATGCCTACGGCTTCCTGACGGTGCCAGACTATGAGGTGGAAGATCTGAAACTGCTGGCCAAGATCCAGGCCTTGGAGGTGTGCTCCCACCACCTGCTGGGCCTCGAGACCGTGCAGCGCCCCCTACGGGAGCGCTGGGCTGCCCTGACTGAGCTGGCACCCACAGCCGAACTCAAGCAGCTGCTACGGGCAGGCGTGCCCCGGGAGCACCGTCCGCGTGTCTGGAGGTGGCTGGTCCACCGCCGGGTCCAGCACCTGCACTCTCCAGGCTGCTACCAGGAGCTTCTGGCCCGTGGCCAGACACGCCAGCACCCCGCGGCCCGCCAGATCGAGCTGGACCTCAACCGGACCTTCCCCACCAACAAGCACTTCACCTGCCCGGCCTCCAGCTTCCCCGACAAGCTCCGCCGGGTGCTCCTGGCCTTCTCCTGGCAGAACCCCACCATCGGCTACTGCCAAGGCCTCAACAGGTGAGGAGCAGGGCGTGAGAGCACAGCTTCTCTTCCAGCACAGTCTGCCGTGCAGCTCGGAGCCCAGGAGGCCTATCCCTCTCCCCTGGCAGGCAGAGAGAGGGCACGCTCGGGGCTGAGAACCTGGGGTTCATTCAGGTCGTCGCCCTATGTGCTCTGACTTGATCTTGGGAGTTCTCCTCAGGGACTGCTCAGGCTCCGGCCTCCCCCTCCTCACCCCTCCATCCTCCTCTCAGTGGGGTGGTCTCTCCATCGGGGCTGCCTAAGCAGAGACCTCAGCCCTTGAGCATTCCTACCTCACCCCTCCCTTCCCGTCCTTAATCCCTCATATCCAGGCTTGAAACTCCAGAAGTGGAGTGTGAGTGGGCTAGCCTGGATTACTGTCTGCTTGGCTCCACTCAGCAGCAGAGGGAGAGGGATCAGGCTGAGGATGGAGCTGGTAGAAGTGTCTGTCCCCTCCAACACTGGGGACTCTCATGAGTACCCTGGTTATTGCCATAGAAATTGCTGCATGGTCTCATCTATTCCCCAAAGCAAGTTTGACTCAATTTAGTTCAAGCACACATATCCCTGTGCTAAATTTGCATAAGCTGTCTACTCTCCCTTCAGAACAGGTGATGTGTGACATTTATTTAGCACAGAATCAGGCTCAGATTTCAGTGGGTCCCAAGGGCAGAGATTTTCGGTATTGCTATCGCTGGTCTAAATGTGAGTGAAATTGAGCATGTGTATGTAATTTCTGGGATTTGGGGGTTAAAGTCCCAGCAGTCATGTAGCTCAGTCCACACCCCTCAGCAAGACTGTCAGGATGTACCCTGCTCTGCCTGGGGCAGATGATGGCTGTAGACCGCCTGCCCTCTCCTTCCTAGCCCAGCAAGACTGCGGATCTTTCTCAGTGTGTTAGACTCTAGAGGGTACAGATGGCGACGGCAGGAGGCCAGAAGGTAGAGGACTCGGCTACCGTGCTTCCTGACTGGGCCCCAGGATGGAACCCACATGGCAGAGGAGAGAATCGGCTCCCGCCAGCTATCCTCTGGCCTCCACACGTCAGCACACGCCCAACACACAGACACACACACAGACACACACACAGACACACGCACGCACGCGCACACACACACACACACACACACGCACACACGCGTGCATACGTAGGGGCTAGGGAGATGGTATCTCAGTTAGTATTTCTATTGCTGTGATAAGACACCATGAACAAATGCAGCTTGGGGTGGGGGCAGTAAGGAGTCTATTCATTTTACTCCCTGTAGTTCCTCCAGGGAGGTCAGGGCAGGAACTCAAGGCAGGAACTGATGCGGAGGAATGGAGGCCATGGAGAAGCTTGCTCTGCGTGCTTATTATAGCATCCAGGACAACCCCCCTCCCCGTGGCACTACCCATAGAAGACTAGGCACTCCCATGCCAAACACTGACTATAGGTCAGCCTTATGGGGAATTTTCTCATTTGGAACTCTCTTTCCCAAATGACTCTGGCTGGTGTCAAGTTGGTAACACGCTAGCCAGGATAGGTAGTTTGGTAGTTAAGAGCACTTGCTGCTCCTCCAAAGGACGAGGATTTGGTTCCCAACACCAACATGGTGACTTGCAACCATTCATAACTCCAGCTTCAGAGGATCTGACGCCCTCTTCTGGCCTTCATGGACACTGCACATAAGTCACACAGAGACATAAAAATAATAAGTAATTCTTTTTTATTTAGAAAACAAAGCAAGTAAAAAACAGCAAGTGCTAATGAATTCTCAAAAAAATAAATAATAAATAAATGGAGGAGGAGTGAGGAAGATGGGTCTGAGGTCAGAGACCTTTAGTCTCAGTTACTCTTTAGTCTCAGTTACTCTTTAATCTCAGTTACTCCAGAGGCTGAAGCAGGAAAATCACAAATCGAAACCTGTCTGAGCTGTCCTTGAGTTCAAGGACAGCCTGCATTATTTAGTGAGTTCCTTGTCTCAGAAAAAAAAAATTCCTGAGGACATAGCTCAATGAGAGAATGGTTGCCCAGAGGGACCAGAAGTTCTGGTATCAGGCGAGTGGTGGATTTTATCTGTGTCCCTGCAGGTGGGAATGGGCACCCCATTTTCCAGTTGAGACCTGAGGTGTTGAGGAAGCTGTCCAGAATTTCACTGTGCATGGCAGCCCTGCAGCCCCTGGCCCCCAGTCCTTTATACAACCCCCCTCTAAGTGGGGGCTGGGCCCCCCAAAGCCTTCCTGATCCATGTGTCCCTTGTGGAGACTGGGGGACTTAGCCACACTGGGGCTCTAGATTTCGGAGGTTGGCCAGTGGCTAAGGGTTAAAGGGCGAGGAAAGTTCTCACAGTGGGAGGACCTTAACGTCACAGCCTCAGGAGAAAATGCCCTGGTGCAGGAGGGACATGAGCGCAGGCCACAGGGACAAGTGAAACAAAATGGGGGTGACTTCAGTATGCCGCTGTGCTGCATTTATTTGATGTGCAAGTGCAAATAATTGGGATTCACACGAATATTTATATTATCACTTTAAATAGAAAGCTATGTATAATAGAGCCTGCCTGCATCTCAAGAGAGGTGTGTTTTGCAGCCGCTGTCTCTTTCGCCATCTAGTGATCAATCTCAGAACTGCATGCATTGTATCAGAATAAACAGTCCTCTCACTTAAGGCAACAAAATCCAGCCCGTTCCTGAGGTAACAAATAATGTGAAAATACCTTTGCCAATTTAGAACAAGCACTTTAATCCGTTCCCCTATGCAAGTACCTGGACTGTGTAAAGCGCAGTCCTTCCCCATCTGCACACGCCTTTGAGGGCCGGCTTGCTTGGTGTCCCATAGTTCCCTGGGCGGCGGTGAGGATTTGCCTTCTGCATGCAGAAATCTAAACAATACTGACAGCCCCTGAAGACATCCTTGGGTTTTGGAGGAGCAGGAGGGCGGGCTAGGATAGACAGCAGCAGGCTGGATTTGGGGTCCTGGATTCTGTCCCCTCTGCCCACGTGATCTTAAGTGATGATTACTTTTGCCTTCTGAGTTCCAGTTTCCCCATCTTGCCTTGACCAGAGGTGGCCCATGGAAAGAAGCTGCCTAGGGACCCATTTGAAGGGGCTTCTGGGGATAGTGTCCAGCTCAGTAGCAACAAGTTCCATGAGCAATTACTATGTGTGCCCTGGGCGTTGATGGAGTGGTACTTGATACACAGGGCATTGTCTGTTCTGAGTCCCCTCCCCCAGCTCGGAGAGGGCAGAGCATCCTGGTCCCAGGAGACCTGCGGCTGTTTTCCTCTCTTGCACTCAGCTCAGACTCAGGAGAGTTTGTACAAACATGGCCGAGCAGGGAACAGCCCTCCCAACCAGCTGGGAAAGGAGAAAGGACCCCTCTCCCCTTTGTGAGAATCAGCCCTGGTTCTAAAGTCATGAACCTCAAAAGAAAATGGAGGTCATGAATCCAGTCCGTTAAGAACCCCAATGCCGGGCTCTGGAAGGGCTCTGCAACGCAGGCTGTGGTGATACACACCTGTAATCCCAGTATCCGAAGACTGAGGATTGCCAGCCTGGCCGTAGAGAGAGATTTTAACAAAAGCAAAAAAGATTTTAATACAGATTCAAGCTTGATGGCCTACAGAGCGAGTTCCAGGACAATCTTCAAAGCAATAAAGAGAAACCCTGTCTCCAAACACCAAACAACAACAACAACAACAAAAAATCCAAGCTTGACATTCACAGAGAGCCCATGGCTTCCAGTGAGTTCCTCTTCTCCTTACAGGCGCCTGAGGAGGGCTCACCTCACATGTGATGAGCAGAAGGGGTCCCATGGCCCCCGCATCAGTCTCCCAGGGGCTTGTTGCTGCAGAGTGTCCTGAGGCTTTCTGAGAATGAGCGCTGTGAGCCTCCAAGAGTGGCTGGAATGGGCGGTGTCCCCGGATGGGGGACCTTGTGTTTACCAGGTCCATGGGAGACATCCTGGGGACTGTGCTCTGGGGTTGGCCCTGGATGCGGCCCCTCAGGGAATGGAAGAAGAGAGCTTCTCAGGGAACGATGTCCCCACTCAGCTCTAGGCTTGTGTCTGTCCTGTCCTGCTGTCCTGGTCTCAGAGGACTGCATAACCGGGTGGGAGTGTGTAGGAGGGAGGCTGTGAGCCCTCACCACGGGGCTGTGCTGGTGAGTGGAGCGTGAGGTATTCTCCCCTCACGGGGACCATGCAGCTCTGGCAGGTGCAGAGACCAGAGCTTGCCAGTGTGAGGGTTAAGATAGCCAGTATTTACCAAGCACCGACGGCATGCCACGCACTGGGTTGGACACCAAATGTGCTGACAGTCCACAGGGCTAACCATTTGAGCTGAGGCTCAAAGAGGTTAAGTAGTTTACCCAAGGCCGCCCAGGAAACAAATTCTCACCCAAGAAACCCAGGCTTGGAGCCTCTGTTCTGTATTGGTCCTCATTGCTCTGGAAGTCAACCTGGGCATACTCCCCCAAACATCGTCTCACGCCAGGTGCCACAACTACCAGCCTGGTAGGGAAGGTGCCTAGGTCAGCCAGGGCTCAGCCCTGGGACTCAGGGTGCTGTCCCTGCCTGCAGCACTGCAAATACTGTGGGTCACTCCAGGCCTCCCTCCCCTGCAGGCTGGCTGCCATCGCCCTGTTGGTCCTGGAGGATGAGGAGAGCGCTTTCTGGTGTCTGGTGGCCATTGTAGAGACCATACTGCCCGCTGAGTACTACAGCAAGACGCTGACCGCATCTCAGGTGAGCTGACCGCATCTCGGGCAGGACAGGACGTGGCGCCCATTCCAGGCAGTCCCCCAGAGGAGTTCCTTCAGGCCAGCAGATCCGGGGTCTCCGCCTCTCCTACACAGGGAGGGGCCTGTAAGATTGTGAGGCCCTGCCCACCAGCAGGTGTGTTACCCAGTGGTGATGTCATACCACCAGGAGGAGCTGCTTCCTGGGGAGGGAGAAAGAAATCAATGCCCCTTGCCATCTGCCAGTCAGGAACTGAGAGAGGCCACGGGATGGGCAGCAGGCTGGGGTGACGGCCGCTGTCTCTGCACGTGCTTGTGGTTACGCCACCTCCCTGGGGATGAGGGTTCGTAGCCATTGGCTGTGGCCCCCGCATATCATCGCTCTGGACCCCAGGCCGGCCTACTCTAGAGCAGGAATAAGGTCTCTCTGGACTTAGAAATCGTAAGTGTGTCCTGGCCCAGTCCCCCACTCCATTCTTGCTGAGGCAGCCGTCTGCCCTGCGGACCTCATCTTTACACACTCCGCCGCCCTCGTCACCCCTGTGCCCTCCCCCTGTCATGCCTGACACCCATCCCTCCTCCTGGGCTGCCCTTTGGATAACAGGGATCCTGTGCAGCCGCAAGGAGAGCCGGCTTGAACTCAGAAGGTGGGGGCAGGGAGGGCATTCGACCTCACAGAAAGGAAGAGTGGACTCGGTCATCAGTGCTGCCAGTGGGCAGGCTCCTCCAGCCGCCTACTCTGCCTCCCGCGTGTTTGTCACCAAGTGGTCTCAGGGGGTGCACCACCCTTAACCCTGTGGCCATGGTGTACTCCAGAAGAAGCAGACAAGGTGGGGCTGGCCCTTCCAGTCCACAGTTTTTACTTCCTGCTTAAACCTGAGAGCCTTGGGTTTGCCCCAGGCTGCGTATTTCACGTGTGGATCTTAGCGTTGAGCAACAGCATCGAGCTGACTTTTGGTTTTGTTTTGGTCATGGAGAACTTCCACATTCGGAACAGTAGGGGAGGTAGGCAGCTTGGGTTCCCACCTAGTGTCCCTGGTTACCAGCAGAGGAGAGAGGCCTGGATCACAGGCAGTTAGGTTTTTTTTTTTTTTTTTTTTTTTTTGGCTCCGTTTTATCATAGATCTGGTGACTCGCCTGGCTCTGGGGCTGGCCATGCTTCTGACTGAGGGAGGAAAGCCCTGTGTCTGACTGAACACTCACCACAGCAACACTGAAGCTCAGATCTGCATTGGGGTGGGGGTGGGAGGGCTGTCGGGTTCTAGACAAGAAGGAGCAGGAGGGGACACAGATCGGGACTGCCAGGGAGGAGGGAGCCGTTCAGAAAGTAATCAGAAGTAAATAGCCAAAGCCACCAGGAGAGGTCACCGTTCTCCCCACCGTGTCTGTCCTGGGCCTCACCCCAAGTGTCTGCCAAGTGTCCTAAGAACCAGGCCAATATGGTCCAGAGAGGCTGGAAAAGATGCTCCTGGTTTTCTGTGCCTGTGAGTATGAGACTGGTTTCCTCCAACTGCCAGGGACACTGCTGAGTGACACAGCACATGCCAAAGACTGTTGCTCTCCCTGGGTATTTTGCCTGTGTTGGGAGCCCTGGTGATGTCACTGTGATGCACACACTCTCACACAGACATACACTCACACACACAGACACACTCACACACACAGACATTCACTCACACACACAGACACACTCACACACACAGACATTCACACACAGACACACTCACACACAGACACACACACAGACACACACTCACACACACAGATACACATTCACACACAGACACACACAGACACACACAGACACACACATTCACACAGACAGGCACATTCACACAGACACACTCACACAGACACACACACACAGACACACACTCACACACAGACACACACTCACACACAGAGATACACAAACTCACAGACACACACACTCACACATGGACACACACACACATAGACAGACACACACTCTCACACAGGCACACATTCACACAGACACACAGACACATTCACACACACACACACAGACACATTCACACACACACAGACACACACACACACAGACTGGCGGGGTCTGACGAGCAGGCAAAGAGGGAGACAGCAGACAGGACAGGCCTCTGCTGCCTTCCAGGTGGACCAGCGGGTGCTCCGGGACCTCCTCTCAGAGAAGCTGCCCCGACTCACCGCTCACCTGAGGCAGCACCACACAGACCTCTCTCTCATCACCTTCAACTGGTTCCTCGTGGTCTTTGCCGACTCTCTCATCAGTGACATCCTCTTGCAAGTCTGGGATGCCTTCCTGTATGAAGGGACAAAGGTAGGTATGCCTGGACCCAGCTGCCCAGCCGTGCCCCACAGGATGGAAAGCCTGCCACCTGTCAGCCGTTTGGGACACCTGAGAACACAGCTTCTTAAACTGTAGCGTGTTCTGTGCAATATGAGAGGAAGCGGTGGCCCTACCTTTGAAGCTTGGGTCTGGTCCAAACCTTGCCTGTGACCTTGCCAGGTCTTGGTGGGGGGGGCCGCCACCAGCAGAGATGCTAGAGGGACTGACCCTTGGCTCCGGCAGGACAGTGCTCGCCTGGGCCTTGTAGAGGGCTCAGGTACTCAGAGACCAGGCTTCCGGCTGTGCTTCCTTTAGGCTCTTCTGTCACCTGCCCGTCCCGCCCTTCCAAGACCCCCAGGAACCTCCACATTCCCAGAGTCTCTGGGCTTCTGCACCCCACCTCAGCTCCCATTGTGCCCTAGGTGGTGTTCCGATATGCCCTGGCTATCTTCAAGTACAATGAGGAGGAGATCCTGCGGCTGCAGGACAGCCTGGAGATCTACCAATACCTACGTTTCTTCACCAAGACCATCTGCGACAGCCGGTGAGCTGCCCACCCCGCCCCAGCTTAGGAGCCCCGAGGGCTAGTCTACCTTTAGTCTGTCTGTGACCTTGTGTGGCATACAAGGTCCCCAGCCCACCTTCACCCTGCCATCCTTACCTAGGGTGTGGAACAACCAACCCCACCCCCGGCTTTGCCCTTAGTTTCCCCTGCTTGGGGCCTCCTGGCCACTTCCTCCACTGCCACCATTATCTTGGGACTGGTCCATACCTTCAGAGCTAAGCTCCCATATCCCTCCCAGGAATCCCTCCTGGGCAGCTCTTCCCTGCTGGGTCCCCTCCAGCCTCAGCTCTGGATGGGAATGGTCATTTTCCAGAAGGCAGGGCCACCATCCCAGGGTGGATGGATGGGTGTCAGGACAGACCCAGGATCATTGCACTGGCTGACTCCACCTTCCCCCCAGGAAGCTCATGAGCATCGCCTTCGATGACATGAACCCCTTTCCCATGAAGCAGCTGCGGCAGCTGCGGGCAGTCCACCGGGAGCGGCTAGAGGCCGAGCTGCGGGAGCTGGAGCTGCTGAAGGCGGAATACTTGGAGAGACGGGCATCCAGGGGCAGAGCGGTGCCCGAGAGCTGTGTCAGCGAGGACGAAGGGGAGGGCGACGGCTGACCTGCCCCTCCGCTCCCCAAAGCCTTTGTTCGCTTTGCTGGCAGGAGCACAGGCCACAGGCACGGGCCAGAAGTCTGTGTGACCCCGGAGAAGGCCCTTCTCCTCTCTGGATCTTACTCTCCCAGCCCTGCCAGCCTGTATCACAGTACCACTGAGCACTTTAACATGTAGGGAGGCGAGAGTACACCCTGGGTCACCCGGAGCGCTCTCTGAGGCATGACTGTTTCCGTTTGGTTTGGGTTTGGTCTTGAGACCAGGTTTCATGGCGCTCAGGCTGGCCTCAAACTCACTGTGTAACTGAGCCTGGCCTGACCTTCTGGTCTTCCTGACTGAGGCAAGGTTGGCATAAAGCATTGTCCCTTTGACTGATGACTCTCTCTTTAGGACAGACACACTCTCTTACCAGTGTTTCTGGGCAGGCCAAGGTGTCAGCAATGATCCCGCTGGCACCCTCTGGCTCAGGGCCTTGGTCACCATAGATGGCACTCCAAATATAAGATCTGCATTTTCAGGGCATGTGTCTGGGCAACAGCCCCTCTGAAGTGCCACCTGGATCTGTGTTGAGGCCACCCTCCTCGAGGGACTGTTTCTGGAGCCTCATGCCTGCGTCTTCCCTTCTGCTTACGGCCAACTGAGGACACCCCAGGGAAGCCCGTCTGCCACCCTTAGAAATTTGTTGGGAACAGGACAGTGGGCCGCCGAACAACCATCTGCTCTGACATGGCCCTGTCACGTGGGGCTGCAGCCCACCTGGCTCAGCAGAACGAGTTGAGCACGGTTTTATGGCCCCGCATAGCCCTGTTCTCCATGCTCTTCCTGGTGTTTTCAGCAGAGAGAGCTGCCCATCCCAAGTGTCCACCCTACCTGGGAAAGAAGACTTAGGGGTCACAAGGGGTTCATAGCTCCACAAACTGTGACTGCCATCAGCCTTGAGCATGGCTCACAGAGGGTGGGGATCTGTGGAGGCTCTTCTGGAAACTCCCGAAGTCAAGGTTCCTGTGGGACTGGGGCCACACCCTGTTGGCTCTGAGAGGCATGGTGTGCGAAAGCTTAGCATGCCTGGCACCCAGAGAGTGTGCACACACACGCAAACACACGCCAGCTCCTGGCCTAGGGACTCCTGTAAGCACCGTGCACTGGCGCCTGCCTGAAGTGGGAGAAAATGGAGGAGGAGGGGTCTTGGGATCCTGGCTGTGCTCTGACTGGCACAGTAACCCTCAGTGGGTCACAGGAGAAGAGACAGCCCCAGCCCTGGGGAGCACGCAGGAGAGTGAAACTGATTGACCCCAGGGCCTGGCGCAGGGAAGCGCCCAAGGCAGTGAGCCTTTCCTGAAGGAGGCATGGCTAGGTGGGGTCCAGGTCTCCAAAGACAGGTCAGGCAGTGGGCACAGGCTCCAGATCAGCAGCTCCTTCTGCCCTCCTCTACCCCTCCCTCCCCCAAGCCACCGCCCACCTCTCCTCCTCACTTCTCCCTAGAGGAGGACTCTGCCCAAGTACCATGCATGCTCCTTCCTCCCCAGGGACCAGACCGGCTTTCTTACCGAGCTATGCCTTAGAATCCTAAGCTAGCTTTGACCCAGCAGTGTTGCTGGGCCTGCTGTCTGATGCTGTTGAGGCCACGATGTTCTGATAACCCTGGGAGGGTTAGAGTTCTGGGACTAATTGCCTCCTGCAGCCCCGAGTGAGGAGGCAGGCTGAGAACAGCTTGTCCCACAACACTCACCCAGGTCAAGCTCCAGTGACTGGGCACAGAGAAGTTAGTGAACTCCAAAGTCATGCAACAGGGGAGCGTGGCCTGGCCTGTGAGGCTGTGGGCACACCCATAGGGTAACTGTAAGAAGAGAAAGGGTGCCCTTGTGTGGGTACACACTTAAGGTCCCCCAGCCGTCCAGAACTCCCTGGACTACATAGTCTCAAAAAACAAAACAATAAAAGGAAAGCAGATGTTGTCTGAGTTGCTTGACCTGGAACAGGGATGAACAAGGGGTACGGGGTGGCCTGAGCTTGAGAATATCTGGGCTGCAGTTGGGTAGAGTCTGACCCTCCCTCAGGGCCTGGGGACTACCCTAGTGTCAGGTTCCTTGCTTGCTCGCCCCGCAGCTGTTACCCCTTCCCCGGGGACCACTGCTTTCTAGGTTGGGGGAGGGATTTGATCCCCCGGCTCCAGCTTCCTACCCAGAACAGGGATGGGATCCAAGCTCCCCGCCTCTCACCCCTGGACCAGCAGCCCTTATCTCGGAGAGCAGAGGGACGGGTCAAAGGAAGGGCCTGGGGGGCTGATAAAGTCCTCCGTCTGTGTGGGAGGGGCGAACCCCCTTCCAGAACACTCGTTCAAGCCTACAGACCCTAGCCCTAGGGGCTGTCTTCCCGCAACATCCCACCCCTCCCCCAGACGGCGCGGTTCCTGTAGAAACGCCTCATGGGATGGAAATGAAGTAGATGGCACAGGGCTGTGTCCTGGTGACTGACGGCTTGCCTGCCACCTTTAGGACAGAAGCACGCTTGTTACCAGGGTTCCTCTTGGTCCATATCTTCAGACTAATCGTCGTTCTCCCCACCCCCACCCTGTGTGGTGTCTAACCACCGGTTGTGTCCCTGCTCAGTGTCCCCTCGTGTGTAACGAGCTGTCAGGAGCAGTCTTCCACACCTGGGGCAGGGTTAGGAGAAGGCAAGAGGAAACAGGGAAGGTTCCTCCCCAGGCACAGATTTATGACTCCATATACTCATGGGCCCCAGAGAATCCCTGTCAAACGAGACTGACCCAGCCTTGGGGCCTGGCACGCACGAGCAAAGGTTTCTGAGAAGGTGATTCTGGGAGGGGGAGGGGGTGATGCTGGGAGAGGGGCACCAGAGACCCTCGCCTCAGCCTTTTCAGTGAATTGGGACATTCAGGTGACCCAGCCGCTCCCAGATAACACCTTAGTGGCCCTAACATGACAGCGCAGGTCTACAATCCCAGCTCTTGGGAGGTGGAGATCGGATGAGTTCAAGGTTTTCTCCTAGTTCATAGATTAAGACCAACCTGGACTATGTGGGGACTCTGTCTAAAGGAATAATAAAACACATGGGCTGGCAAAATGGCTAAGTGAGTAACTGCTTGCCACAGAAGCCCGACAGCCTGAGTTCTGTCCCTGGAAACCATGTTTAAAAAAAAAAAGGCTGAACGCAGCCCTCCTACTTGGCGATGGGAGGCAGGAGAATTGCCTGAAAGCTCAAGGGACAGCCAGCCCGGAGTATACAAGCATGCAGCGTGGTGGAAACGGGAGACCTTGTCTCAAGATGGAAGGAAAGAACCAACTCATGGAGAGATCTCATCTGACCTCTACACAGAGCACACGCATGAACACACGTGTAAAAAATGATAAAAAATCTTTCAAAATACTCCCTGAGTGCAAAGGTCCGACAGCTGCGTGTTCGCGTTGGCGTCTGCTGTGTGCCTCTGCCAATGCGGCTCCAGAGGCTTGTGGCTGCAGGGGAGGCTTTCATGTAGGAACCCTCAGCTCTAGGCAGGCAGCAGAGTGACCCAGAGCACTGTGATTCAGGACCCTGAAGCAGGCTGTTCTAAAGAGATAGAGAGAGACTCCACCAGAGCCGAGTGTGGTGGTGTAACCCCAGTTACTTAAGGCTGAGGCAGGAAGACAGCTGTTCAAAGTCAGCCTGTTTCAGAAAAAAAAAGTTCTCAGTGTAGTTCAATGATACAACACTTGTCTGGCACACTTGTCTGGCATGCACAAGGCCCTGTGTCACAAATGCACACACACACACACACAATCAGTTGATAGAACCTGCCAAGAACTTAGCCAGTCTCAACTTCTTATCTATGAAATGGTATTACTATGACTAGTTAGAAGGGGTTGGTAGATCAGATGTAATAATGTATGTACTCAACATATCCAGCACCTACTATGTGCCAGGCACCGCGCTAGCGCCCTATCCCCACCCCCCACTACCACCACCAGCAAATGCATCACTACAAGACACGAAGAACTCTTTCCAAGATAGGCGGCGTGGCGTGGTTGTTATGAAAGACACGACGTCCCATCTTCCATGTTCAGAGTGCACAGGTCTGATAGAGGACTCGGCCGGGCAGCAGCGCCGCCTACTGTCAGCCTCGGGAAGGGTCTCCCTCCCCGGTGCGCAGCCGCCCACCACTTCCAGGTTCTCGCGCCGCCTGCGGAGCCGCGGTCCCCGCTCTCGCTGCGGGATCCTGCCGGGAGCCAGCTGGGGGGCAGACGCGGTGGCTGTCTCCATCTCAGCAAGGGGAAACTGAGGATCGGGACCCGAGTCCCACCCAAAGCCTGCGGCTAGAGCGTGCGGGAGACGAGAGCGTGTGCACGCGGGACGGGATCCGAGCTGCGGGTGACGGGCGGCGCACAGGCGGGGCCTCCCCGTCCCGCCCCGCCCCGGCCCCGCCCGGCCCGGTCCCGCCCGCCGGGCTGCGCGGGGAGGCGGCGGCGCTGGGCGCGGGGACTCGGCGGGCGGCGCGAAGCGCGGAGCGGGAGCTGGAGCCGCCGCCGCCGCCGCCACCTGCGCGGCCGTCAACAAGGTAGGGCGGGACCGGGCCGGGCGGGACGCGCTGCGCCCGGGCTGTGCCTAGGCAGCGGGAGGGATGCTGCCCCGGCGCCACGGAGATCTATCTTCCAGCCCCCCGCACGACCTCACACAAAGCCCTGCCCCGCGCCGGTCCTCAGTTTCCCCAACCGGATAGCGGTGCGGCCGCCCCCTCAGCGGGTGACTAGTAACAGCCACCCCCGGGTTTGGGCTGCTGAGGCTAGGGGCTAGTCCTCACCGTGGCCCGCGCCTCCTGCCGCGGTGAGCGGCCCGCCCTGGGCGCGGCAGCCAGTCCCGACAGGCCCCGGTGTGGCCCTGGTGCCCCGTGGACCCGAGTCGTGATTATTCTTGTCCTGGCGGGATTACCCGCGGGGGCCTCAGCTTCCAGTGCCGGGAAACGGTGGAGGAGGAAGCATCCCCCTGTCCCTGCCGAGGCGACCTGGGCGCGCGGGTGGGGCGATCAGTGCCAGACCAGCCTCATCGCCTAGGGCTGGAGGAGGAGCCCCGCGCTGGCGGTGGCCAGATCTCAGCCACAGACCTGCCTGGACCCGAGCCTAGCAGACACCCACCTGCATTCAGGCAGTGGGGAAGGACGGCCTGGTTCGCGCCCTGGCCAGCTGCAGGAGCCCAGTTCTGTGTACCCGTCTGGTGGGACAGGGTTGGCTCTGCCACACTCGGATCTCAGAGAGTCCGCTTGCCGGGAGGGCAGTGGCCCTGGGGGCGGGGGCCAGAGCGCTTGTCTAAAAGGATGCAGTGGTTACTCGGTCTGTGAAGTCTTCTGCTGTTGGGGCTAGGACGTTCTGTGAGATGCCTCTGGATGAAGGTCTTGTGTGCGGTGGAGACCTCACTGGTCTGGACTGTGGCTGTAATTCCTGTTAGTGTCCTGTGGACAACATATGGCCCTTCTGTCCCAGAGCCTGCCCTTGTACTCATGGTCTCGGGCTTGTTCATAGCCGCTTGTGCCTTGGCGTGGGAATGTGCCTCACGCTGCCCTCACCTGACATCTCTGTGGCCTGTGCGGGGAGAGCAGGACCTGGGCCATCTCTGGGCCCATCTGCCTCATTTCCTGGTATCTGCCCCCAGTTAAGGAACAGTTTCGACGCCTGCTGATCTCCTATTTCCCTCCCCCTCATCCAAGGGCTTTCTTAGGGCTAAAAGAGGGGCTCCCCCTCCCCCAACCTCAGCATAGGTGGTGGACCCTGTGTCATCCTAAGTATGCAGTCAAAGGACTGGGTGGACTTTGGAGGGTGCAGTGGCATCCCAGCGCTGAAGCAGGGTGGCAGGGGCCCTGCCCCATGGCCCCCAGAGCTTCACTGCAAATGAGTGTTATTATCCTCCCATAAAGGAGACTAAGTATAAGTGTGGCTGCCAGAGCCCAGCACCGGCTTGAAGGCCTAAGTACTACCTGAGTCCCCTGTCATTGCACACGGGTGTGACCTGGGAGGTCACTGTGGATTGGATGGTGCATGGCCAAGGCAGGTTCTAGTTACTACAAAACTATCCTGTGCTTCTAGAATACACTATGGAGTTGTGGATTATCTGACCTGAAAGTCGTCTCCAGAAGCCATCTCGTCCAATCCCCTTATTTTATGGGCAGATAACACCTGCCCTTGAAGGGGATGGGACTGGGTGGGTGGTCACCCGGGAATCCTAATTCCCAGCATGCAGTGTTTAGATGCCGGTATCCAGCTCAGTGGGTAGAGTGTTTACCTAGCTACATGAAGCCGGTTCCATCCCAGAACCGAATAGACTGAGAATGGTGACGCGTGCTTGTATTTCCTCCACTTGGAGGCGGAGGAAGAAGGATCAAGAGTTCAAGACCATCCTCTTCTACAAATCAAGGTCTAGGACAGCCTCAGATATATGAGATGCTGGCTCCAATTTAAAGGGGGGGGTAGGAGTAAAAACATGTCATAAATGAAACAGCCTTATTGCTCTGTAAAAGCAGCAACATATAAATATAAAAGGTTAAAACTGTGCTGGCAAGGGTGCAAGAATTAGCCTGAGGTGTGTCTTTTTGTAGGGTAATCTATGAGATGTGTGTGCCTGCCCTTTACTCCCAGGCCTCTCCTCGGGGACTTTTCCCTAAGGAAGTCACCAGAGAGACATGTATGTATTGCTGTTATCCTGAAATTGCCTGACAGTGACCATGCTGAGGTTTCTGAAACATTTTACTTGAGAAGAAATAATGTCAAAAGTGTAAAGCTCCCACCGCCGCCCAGGAGATCAGGAAGAAAGATCCAGAGGCAAGGTGGCAGACACAGACCTGCCCCCTGTGTGACCTCAGGCCAGCCTTTCTCCTCCTGCCTCACTTTCTTCCTTGTGAAGTGGGTGTGGCCTTGGCGATGGCCTTGTCTGCACAGCTCAGCCGTGGAGCCTTCTACTGGAGGAGCAGA